TGATACTTGAACAAAATAAGCTACATGGTCAACTTGCCAGAAAGAAGTCTTTACTTCACCAGTGCCACAAAGAAACCCCGGTAACAATATGCCCTAACACCTTGACATGCCTCTCAGCTTCTGGCACACTAATTTAGAATGACGAGAGCAAAATAGCAAAAGAGAGCTTTACAGTCAGAACCATACGTGCTATGTTTAGCGAAGGGTCAACAAGGTCTATAGCGACAAGAAGACCATCCCCACCGTGTATCATGGTGGTGGCTCGCTGATGTTTTGGGGTGTGTGTGGGCCAAAGTGACCCTCCAGTGGTTACAGCAGAAAAAGGTGAAGGTTCTGGAGTGGCAGCACAGTCTCCTGACCTTTGTTTCATCAAGCCATTCAGAGAAAATGTCAAAATATGTGGTACATGAAAGACGACCGCAGACTTTGCATGACCTCGAGGCATTTCCCAAGATAAATGGGCACCTTTACTACCTGCAAGAATTCTGTGCCTCATATACAACAATTACAAAAGACTGCAGGCTCTCAAAGATGCTAAAGGGAGAATACACAGTATTAAGAATTAAGGGTATGCAGAATTCTAAATAGGGGTCATTTGTTTACTTGTTGCCATTTTTTGTTTTATGATAGTGCCATTCTGTTATGACCTACAGTTGAATAATAATCCCATAAATTGAGTACATGTAAAGACCACTGGGCTTATTTACAGTAGTCAAGTAAACTAATCAGACTTTTTCTCCTGGTGAGGTAAAAACTAATTGGCTGCTCTGGGAAGTTACTAAATAAGCCTGAATGTCTCCCACGTATGATTTGTATTGACTATACAGTGGGTATAGAAAAGAATCACCCCCCTTTAACAATCACATTTAGTTGCTTTGTAGCCTTACTAGGCCATGCAAGGACATTCACCTTTTTCTCCAACAACTGTGTGGTCACTATTGCTGTGTGCTTTGGGTCATTGTCATGTTGGAAGGTAAACCCTTTCCTTCATTAACCCTCAATGGCAACATCTTTGCTTCTGTGCAGCAAACGGCAAAATAAATCATTGCCCTGCCTACTTCGGGTACATCTGGACAAATCCTGACCAAATCCCATGAGTTAGCTTTGGAAAAATTAAGAAAAAGAAGGGAATTGCGATCAAATCCTCAGATAAGGAAGGTAATGTTGTAATAATGTCTTGTGATCAATATAGTGTCATGTGCCAGCAGATTCTAAAAAATACAAAATGGTATAAAAAGGTCTCCCAACATCAAGTAACAATTCTAAATTAACCTATTATAAGATCATTAATGATGCCTTGCAAGATAATATAATTCCCAAGAGTACTTGGGAATTTTTGAACACTGAATGGTCACACTTCTCGACCTTGTATGCTCTTCCAAAAGTGCATAAAAACTTAAATAAATCCCCAGGTAGACCCATTGGGGTTTATTTACTAAAGCTGGAGAGTCCAACATCAGACTCCCTTCTGCATAGAAACCAATCAGCTTCTAACCTCAGCTTGTTCAATGAAGCTTTGGCAATGAAACCTGGAAGCGGATTGGTTTCTATGCTGAAGGGAGTCTGATTTTGGACTCTCCAGCTTTAGTAAATAAACCCCATTATGTCTGGATGTGGGGTCTCACGGAAAATGCAAGTACCTTGATGGACATGCATTTGAGACCACATGTCATTAGTTTACCATCATACACCAAGGACACAATTAATTTGTTACAAATAATTGAAAACGTGCAGCTCCCCGCCAATACATATTAGGGATCCTGGATGTGGAGGCTCTATATAGTAGTATACCACACAGTAAGGGCCTGGATATTGTTAACAGTTTTCTACAAGAAAGAAGCAGGGACCAGACTGAATTCAATGTTTTCTGATACACTGAAGTATAGACCAAGAAATAAACTGAGTACACAAGCGCAGTATATGAAGAGATGACATAAAACATAATAATAATTTGCATAAATAGCAGACAATTAAAGACCAATGAATTAGTAAACAAGATTTTTATAAGGGAGGATTACACCTTAGGATCTACTCTATATCGTAAGGCCACAGCTGCAATACTATTCTAAGGGCCAACAGTGGTCACCCATGCAACTATACCATATAGCCAGTAGTTATGTTTTAAACACAAATTGTTCTAATCAAGCAGATTTTAAACGAGAGGCAGATTCATTAAGAATCAGATTATTAGCCCATGGATATTCAAATAAAATGTTGAAAAAAGCATATTGTCAAGTAAACCAACAGTCTCATACAGATCGGATTTTTCAGACCCCACAATATAGCCCTAATACAGTAACAACTACTAGATTAATTATGCGTTATAATAAACAACAGCAACAAATCCACCACATTGTAAACAATTACTGGTATTTATTAAAAGCTGATCCAGTTGTGGCTACATGTGTGAGGGATAAAGCCAAGATTATGCATTGTAGGAATAGATCAAATCACAGATACTTTGGTACATAGTCATTTCAATAGATCAGGAAGGACGGACCCATGCCGCCACAGGGGAACCTTTATTTGTGGTGGTTGTGCATACTGCCAGCACATCTTGCAAGGCAGAAAACATTCTGCCAAATGGTGAGATGCATGAAGCACGACACTACTTCAACTGCCAAATGGAAGGTGTTGTTTATATGATGACATGTAGTTGTGGTAGCTTCTATATTGGCAAAACCAAACGCAAGTTTTGGTAAAGAATCGATGATCATGTTTCAGCCATCCAAACGGGAGACATTTCATCCCCCGTTAGTAGACATGGGACTTGGTATCATTCTAAAAATCCACAATGTGTTTTACTCTTGAAAGAGTACATTTGAACCACCGTATCCTCCAAAAAGAGGCAAGATGGATACATAATTTGTGGCGACGCAGCCTCCGGGCTTGAATGACTCATTAAGTTTCAAACCCTTTTTGCCCTGATATTCAGCCACCTTATGTATTAATATTGTAATTTTTCTTTTTTCCTTTATATCTTGAGTATTGTTCATATAACTTATGTATATACTTCTTTGTAATGTATTATTTATATATATATATATATATTTATTTTTTTGTATGCACTCTTTGAAAAAAAATCTTTTGTATTGTATTATTTTTGATGTATTATGATTTTGAATGTGTAATATCTATGCACAATGTATATGGTTGTGGTTATTTTAATAATGTATTGTTTAGGTTTGATGATGATTAATTTTGACTTCGAGGAAGGTGTCTGGAATCATGAGCATATATCCATATAATAATGCGCCTTTTGAAGTATATGTGGATGTAGGACTGGTTCATGTGTGCGTTTTGGCCTGGCGGTTTATCTATTTTCTCTCTGGTGTATCCCGGTGTTAACTGAGTTGATGCTTTAATCTCCGATGTCTTCACACAATGACTTCTTAAAAATAGCCGCAATCATGTGACGTTTGGCATCATGACACGCTGGCTGGTGACACCAGACGTCATGACGTTATGTATTTACATCGATAATGGCGTTGCGCATGCGCCGTAGGGTGGGATCGCCGATATTTTGGTGGTTTAGTCCGCTATTTAAGGCATTTACAATGGAGATTGTACCTCTTTGGCTGCGTTGTTGGGCTGGATTGGCAGCAATGTTTCTACTGTGTTTCCAGAGCGGTTTAGGAGCATCATTACCGCTGTATAGGGATCGTTTTTCCTCTTGCCAGAGGAACTTTTATTATTGGGAGCCCCCTGACCAACTACAAAAGCACTCTGCCTGACTTGGTATGCATCCAATTAGTAATTTATTTATGGATCTATTTAGTATGTCTTTCCTTTCTCTCTTTTTTGTTGAGAAGAGTAGAATAAATTGTAGCAAAATTGGTAATAGTGAATTTAAGGTCCCACCAGGGATACAGTACACATTATGTATTGTAGTTCCCAGTTTATAGGGTCTTTACATATAACTAGTGTGGGGAGTAGACTCCTGAGAAGTCTTTGATGTCATTTTGAGTAAATGCTAATGGGGCGTGTTAGATATATTATATGTTTTATTTCAATTTTTGATTCATTATGTATAGTTTCAGAGTTTTTATACTCTTTTTTTTTCCTTGAAGAAGCAGGCTATGTCCCGCGAAACGCGTTGGAGAACAAAAGCCAAGTATCTGCTTGCAATAACTATGCCAGTTATGGAGAACAGTAAAGCATTCTCTTGTACCAATTATGCCAATTATAATATTCAGGCTATTTGAAGCCTTATTTTTGTACCAATGTGTATCTACTGTGCCAGTTACCAATCTTACAAGCATTTTTTAAAATAATGTATTATACATTCTATTTTTCATTACCACAACAGTGGGTTTAATTTTATTAATAAAGTTGGATTTACTATACAGTTTGTGATTGTATTTTTGTGGTATGGTGCCTCTAAAACCCCATTCGTTTTTTTAGTTAGGGATGTTATCTTCAGAATCTTAATCAAGGGGTGTGGCACCAATAAATCCCATTAGCAAGGAGAGATGATCTGATTTTGGATTTCCATCTCTCACCTTCTCCTTCTTATCAATGCAAAAAAACAAAAAAAACTTCGTACTCACTTCAATGCTGCAACATACCACATCAGCTCTAAGACTGAGAACTGAGTTATTACATGACCGCTAATCACTTGGATCAGAGCAGAGAGTGGTGACTCATTAACCGCTCTCCACTCTGCCCCTTGAGTGCTAATTGGAGCACTGCACATAGCTTATGCTTTCAGACATGTGCCGAGAGTCAGAGCCAGCTGTCCGTCAGGCAGCTGGGTGGATTTCAACAATACGGTCAGGATCCTTCCAGAGCCTGGAGCAGATCTGTGATATCAGCTGATAGCAGGCAATAGCTCGCTTTAAGATGAAACCTTGGTCACAGAAGAGCAAGTGACCCGCCGGAGAAGCATAGCCAAAAAAGCTGTGACATTTGGCCAAGTTTCTCTTTTAAAGTCAACTCAGCAGTTTTGTGCACTTGCCATTTTACTTGGAGGCAACATGATTATATGCAAAATTAACACTTCAGGTGATGTGCCAAATTGGTACTGACTGCACAGGACTATACTGCCTAATGACAATATGTAATACCTGTTTGGCAGCTTTCTTCGCCTCTCTCTTCTTTTGGTTTTTCAGTGCTGTTTTTGACATGGGTTTCTCAGTAGACTGAGGCTTCACACTTTGTGGAGGCTCATCTTCATGCTGTGTAAGAAAAGAAACTTAATTATATGAACGTTTGTTAAAGTGGTTTTAAAGACAAAAGTTTTTCTTTTTAACCTTTTTGCATTCTCTGGATTAAGGTAAAAAGCTTTCCAATACCTGTCCCCCACCCAGCCATCTCTAAACACTTACCTGGGCCCGCCACTGATCCAGCGCTGTGCCTGTCTGCAGCTCTTCTCTCCCTTCTCTCTGCTCTTACAGACTTCACTGAAAGCAATTGAATCCATTGGGAGCTGAGGGGTGTGGTCGAGCTGTACTGTGTGTATATCTACGAATGCACACAGCCCAGCTCGGGAGCGTGCCTGCATGTGTGAGAAGAGGAGGAGCCAAGAGCTTAGGCGAAAAGGAGGTCAAGGACCATTCTGTGCAATAACACTACACAGAGCTGGTAATTATAAAAGGTTTATTAAATTACTGTAAAAAAAAGTAGTGCTTACAGTATATTTAAAAATACATGGTTTCCATGTGTAATGACATTTACCCCTGGTTCACATATCCGCATTCCAGCGGGCCGCATTTTGTGTGGGCACGAGAGCCCATTCATTTGGACTCCTGTGCCCCAGGACACAGAGGGAAGAAGTCCCTGCACCTCTTCTGAAAATGCAGCCCGCACGGGAACCTCGGTTCCCAGTACGGTTGCGATTTCCAGTGCGGGCGGCGTGCCATTAGAATTAACGGCACCTGCCCACGGGTCCGGTTTTGTGCAGATCCGCAGCGGCACCACCTGCACATATGTGAACCTAGCCTGACACTGACATAATTAATGTACCTAAGTTGCAAAAATATACAAGCTCTCTTTGATCTGGGGAACAAGGCCTTACCTTAGCCTTTGGTAAATTTCTTAGAAGGCTTTTTCACTTCCTGGAATGTTAACAGAGGAGCCAGTAAGAGCTGGAAACATATTACCAGCTGATCTCATTAGAACACACATCCTGCACTGACCTCATTCGTACACACCCTTCACCCATCGACTTTTTTTTCACAGCATCCCCGGCATCTCTCCCCACATGCATTTACCTGAATACCCCACCGTCTCTACAGACAGGCTCAGGACGCATGCTAGACTACCTGGGGCCACATGCAGCCCACAGGACACCCCTGTTGTAGTGCAAGGGCCTGCTTGAATGGATATAAAGTGATTGGATAGATGGTGTGTCCTCCTACTATATAGTTTTGGTAAATTTAAAGGAGATCGTACAATCAGATTGTATAATGTATGGCCACATTTATACACCTAAATTTCCAAAGTTGTGCTCTCAATGTCATTAATTGGTAATGGCACACCAAACACAGAAACAAGCACACATTTTGCCACATGAAAAAACTGGTGACAAATGCAGCAAAATGCACAGTAAAAAAATGTGCAACACGCCTCATGTTAAAATATCCCATGAGCTACTTTGCCACGTGTAGCGCAGCCCATTGAAATCAACAGGCTGCCCTATGTGTGTCACTGGAAAAACAAGCCAAAAAAACATGCTCCCACTACTCTTGGTGTGAATGGGGCCTAAAAGTGAATTTGGTGCGTTTACACAAGAACAATGAGGCTCCATTCACATCTGCGTGTTTCTGAATGCATGGCAAACGGCACAGAAAATGCGTGCTTTGCCATGCATTTCAGAAACACAATGCAAATATGCATTGTGTTTGTGTTGTCCTTACATGTTAAAGGCACCTTAAGTTTGGAAAACACCAAAAACTGCGGTAGCACAACGTGCTTTGCTCCAAAAATAGTTCTGGAGCTTTTCTAGGGTGATTGTTTCAAGTATGGCAGCCTGTTCCACTGAATGGGCTACCCTATGCATGACAAGTGAAAAAGCTCCAAAACACCCAAAACAAATGCATGCAGGAATGTGAGTCTTCACTACGTGGAGATGTGAATGGGGCCTGACAATTGAGTGCCTCCATCCACTCCCTCCTATGTACTTGTGTAAAGACAGACATACACTATGCAATCTGATTGTACAATGTCTGTACAATTTCCTTTACATTTACCAGAGATATGGAATAGGAGGACACACCTGAACAACCTATTCAATTGGTACCAAATCAGACAGGCCCTTGTACTACAAGCTAATGGGAGGAAGGTAGTATTGTAATGAGGGAGTTGTGGTTCAGAGTGGTGAACACACCCTATCACACCCTCTTCTGTGATGCAACAAGGAAGTGAAGACTTCTGGGAGATGGCCTAGGAAGTGAATGCTGAGATATCATCTAGGAAATGATGCAACCTGAAAATCTATTCAAACATTCAAGTAAACTGAAAAATCTAAACCTGCAGTGGATGAGGTAAGAGAGAGATATTGGGATGGCTGGGCTAGAAATGGCATTCGAAAACGCTTCTATTTATTATCTAAAGTGAAATTCTGCCTGAAAAGGTGAACTTATCGTTTAAAGCAAACCTGTAGATATACCTTTTAATAGCATTCTGAGCCTTACAGGTTGGCAAGGCAAGCAGTTACAGTAATAGGTCAATGATATGGATCAGGAGGAAGGCAGAACTGGCAACTAAGAAAGCTGCATAACAAGGGCACCCATAAACCTGCCTACTTTTAACTATGATCGGTGGCTTTACTGGCCAAAAGGAACATGCAGGAGGGGGCAGTTAACAACACTACCAAGAATTCTAAAAATCAGCATGTTACAGTTGTCTGGGATTTTGGGCTACTATAGCATTGGATGGGTCAAATAAAATGGACAAACACACACTGCCAGACATCTGCATTCTGATGCTGCACTATGTTTATGCTCTTGAAGATTTTCTTTAAAGCAGACCTTAAACAAGTATTTGTCAACTTATGAGGTATGGAAGGCCTCAACAGTGGCCCCCAACATCAAAAGGGACACATATAATAAGACGCTCTCTGGCTGCAGGTTGGCCACCAAGGAGTTAAACCAATAAAAGGAATGTCCTCCAGCTGCCAGTGCAGGGTGGGATTTACATGAGGAAGGGGCATAGATTCTACTGACAGCTATGTATTTCTACACTTTTAATACGGGTTCTAAGTAGCAAACATCAAGGAAGCCAGCTTCTTTTAAAAGGTTTAGGTTATAGGCTATGGTGTTATTGCTATATGAATCTGCCTGTCCCAGTGCCACCTACTAACCCCCCTCGCCCACCACTCAATTTTTTTTGCAAGGGCATCACAGGGAGCGGAAGCAAGGACAATTCTCCCCAATATGATGACAAATGGAAACAAAGACCTGAGACAAATTTTGTCTTGCCTATTCAAAACAAAAAAAGTTAGATTTTAATTTTGATTTATCAGAGCTCTACTGAATATACTTTCTTCTACGGCTTGCTACTGGCAGAAACAATAATCCAAATTAAAAGGTATGCGCTAATAACAAACTTATACAAAAGTGTATGTCATCATCCAAAAAACATTAGTGTTTTAAATAAATTATAGTGCCCAAACATAAATTAGTGTCCAAAAAAATATATATATCTTCAGTGACTTGAACCAATTGTGAGAAATCCACCACCAAAGGAGATTAACCGTTTCAATACCGTGTGATTTTACACCTTCCTGCCCAGGCCATTTTTCAGGTTTCAGCGCTCTCACACTTTGAATGACAATTGCGCGGTCATACAACACTGTACCCAAACTAAAATTTTATATCATTTTCTTCACACAACTAGAGCTTTCTTTTGGTGGTATTTAATCACCGCTGGGGTTTTTATTTTTTGCTAACAAAAAAAGACCAAAAATTTTGAAAAAAAACACATTTTTCTTTGTTTCTGTTATAAAAGTTTACAAATAAATAATTGTTCTTCATAAATTTAGGCCGAGATGTATTCTGCTACATGTCTTTGGTGAAAATAACCCAAATTAGGATGTATTTTTTAGTTTGTAGGAAAGTTATAGAGTTCACAAACTATGGTATAGATCTGAATATTGATCAATCCTGAAGTACTGACAGCCAATCTAATTTCTTGAGGTCCATGAATGTCAGAATAGTACAGATATCCCCAAATGACCCCTTTTTGCAGAGTAGACAGTCCGACGTACTTCATAAGAGGCATGGCGAGTTTTTTGAAGTTGTATTTTTTTGTCATAATTTTTCGGAAAATGAAAAAATTTAAAAAATTATTTTCACTATTTTTTTTTTTTTTTACATACTGTCACCAGTGCAGTACAGCGTCTTCATATAACTGGCATGGCGGTGAACATGGACACTGACTGGTGACAGTATGAAAAAAAAATATATATATATTTTTTTTTTATTTTTTTATTATATTTAATTTTTTATTACATTTTTTTAAAGATTTTTTTTTCATAGTTTACTATGACCAAAGTAGTACAATGTTACCATAGTAACATTGTACTACTTTGGGGGAGTGATCAGTATTTGTTTTTGTTTTTTTTTTTATACACAGTTTGCTTATAGCAAAGAATTACTTTGCTATAAGCAAGCATTTAGCTGAATGAAATCGATTCATTCAGCTTTTTTTTTTTTTTTTTTTTTTTTTTGTGCTTAGCTGTGATTTGGTCACAGCTAATCACATGACATGTGCATGTGACCTGCTGTGACCATTCACAGCTAGGCACTAGTATACAATGGATGGCATCATGAATGAAGCCATCCATTGTATACAACTATCATGTGACCTGCTGTGATTGGTCACAGCAGCAGTCACATGGTACCAGCTATGGGAGCCGGTACTCGGATCTGTCATCGGCCGTGTCCGAGGTGCACGGCCCGTGACAGATCCCGCTGCTGCGCCGCTCTGCTGTGCCGCTCTGCTGTGCCGCAAACTGCGCATGTGCGGTAGCACGCCAAATGGCGTGCACCCGGAATTTAGGAGCGCATTTCAAGCCACCAAACGGCCATTGGCCGGGCGGCTAATGGTTAAATAAACTCACCAGAGCTAATGGCTGGTCAGATTATAAACCAGCAACAGCGCTTGTGCTCTGGGAGCAATGAACCCGATGTCCAAATAGATATGGTGATGTTTCAGATACTTCCAGATAATAATCACAGCCAAACAACTTTGCAGCCCAAGCTCTTATGATGAACTTCTCCACTCTTTCTCATACCTCCATGAGAGCATGCAGTACACTCAGGGACAAAAAAGAGAACATAATGGTGCAATACATTTTTTCATTTATCTCTTTAATAAAAAAGGTATAAGGAAACTCACAAACAAGGTGTCCAACAGACACCAGCTTCAATCGCAAAAAAGGGTTGAGATACAGTTAACGCTCACCGCAGATCTCTTCCATACAGCACAGACCAGCAAGGCTCTCTAACGTCCACATCAAATAGGCTACGCCCAACCGGTTTCGTCACACCGACGTCATCAAGGGGCGGTACCGCCCCTTGATGACGTCGGTGTGACGAAACCGGTTGGGCGTAGCCTATTTGATGTGGACGTTAGAGAGCCTTGCTGGTCTGTGCTGTATGGAAGAGATCTGCGGTGAGCGTTAACTGTATCTCAACCCTTTTTTGCGATTGAAGCTGGTGTCTGTTGGACACCTTGTTTGTGAGTTTCCTTATACCTTTTTTATTAAAGAGATAAATGAAAAAACGTATTGCACCATTATGTTCTCTTTTTTGTCCCTGAGTGTACTGCATGCTCTCATGGAGGTATGAGAAAGAGTGGAGAAGTTCATCATAAGAGCTTGGGCTGCAAAGTTGTTTGGCTGTGATTATTATCTGGAAGTATCTGAAACATCACCATATCTATTTGGACATCGGGTTCATTGCTCCCAGAGCACAAGCGCTGTTGCTGGTTTATAATCTGACCAGCCATTAGCTCTGGTGAGTTTATTTAATCTCCTTTGGTGGTGGATTTCTCACAATTGGTTCAAGTCACTGAAGATATATATATTTTTTTTTGGACACTAATTTATGTTTGGACACTATAATTTATTTAAAACACTAATGTTTTTTGGATGATGACATACACTTTTGTATAAGTTTGTTATTAGCGCATACCTTTTAATTTGGATTATTGTTGCCAAAATTTATTTTGGGTGGGATATGCTGCTGACACTTTGGTGTTTTTTGTAAGTGGCGCTTTTTTCTTTTTTAATTTGGTACTGGCAGAAACAACCAGGGTTTGTCAAAGTGAAGTGAATAAATCATAAAATGACATGAAAGAAAATGTAATATAACTGACAGCATTAAAGTTACTTTGTTAAGAGAAAAGTATATGGCTGCAAGTGCAGGCCTACTGAAAATGCTAGATGCCCGGTTGTAACTCTCTTTGGTATAGCTCAGTCACAGTTGCAGAACAAGTATGAGGTATATGAGTATCAGAAAATGGTCAGAACTTCTTATCTCCATACTTGTCAGCAACTCAGACAGCACTGAAGTCAAAGAAATATAATCACAATGAGAGAACCATCATTCTTAGTAATGGAAGCCTTCGCTAATCTCTCATGATGGTGTGTCATTAACAACATATAGCAAGTATACTGTAAAACAGGTGAAAAAAAAAAAAAAAACTTAGGCACAGGGCTGAAGTCTACTCATCACAAGGCTGGCTTGTGAAAGGAAATTGGATTGATCATATACATGTAATGTATAAGAACTGCTATATGAAAACTAAAAAGAGAAGCTGTGATGACAATGGTAACCATATTCATGGTTTACCATAGGTAACAACTATTCATCCATTAAAAGTAGTTGATCAGGAGTTAGGAAGGTGTAAACCCAGATGCACCATCTTGATAACCTTTGTCATTTCTAGTAACAGGCAGTCAAGAAATCATTAATTATATGCTATAAATGTGTACATTTTTGTTGTACTAGAAAGTGCTGTATTCTTCCTCATCTGTGCTACTGAGTTGTGTCAAGTGTCCCTTATTCTGTACACATAGTAATCTGCCTACCTAGATTATTGGAAAACTCACTATAGCAAGTCTAATACTTGCATCAATTAAATCTATTTGGTTTGTGAATAAGAACTAGAATCCCTTACATATCAAAATGTCACAGAAGTCCCTGACAGTCTATGCTGGGCCACAGCAAACAAATTCTCCTAATCCAGTATTGCAAGACATTAGGCAGGCTGAAGTCCTTAAGGTAATAACTCTGTGTTATCCTCAAACAAGAGATTCCGGTGTGCTCGCTCTAATGTCATTAAGAGAACACTCAAAAATATTTGCATAAATTACTACCTGCATCAATGAAAATCACCAACCTTCACCACTTTTAGGACTTCTGCCCTGTGCATTTTGTTCACATCAAGTGGTTTCAATTCAATACATGTCTACTGGCTCCTTGTGTAGCTTCTACCTATGACAGTCTGAGCTTTCCTGTACAGAAATTGCAAGAGGCTTCTACCAGGTCAAATTAAGCTACTTACATAACAATGATAAAATATATACATATATATATATATATATATATATATATATATATATATATATATATACATACACACACACACACAAACACATACACACACTGAAATAAATACTGAACAAGTCACCATTTTTCTACGTAAATCTATTTCTAACGATGCTATTGACATGAAAGTTACACCACATGTCGCTAACAACCCATGCAATCCATACATACAAAGAAACCAAAACAAATACGTTTAGAATTTAAGTTATGTATAATAAAATCGAATGACACAGGGAAAAAGTATTGAACATGCTAACTGAAATTTAATACTTTGCACAAAATCCTTTGTTGGGAATGACAGCTTTAAGACGCCTCCTGTATGGAGAAACTAGTCGCATGCATTGCTCAGGTGTGATTTTGGCCCATTCTTTCACACAAACAGTCTTCAAATCTTGAAGGTTCCTTGGGCCTCTTCTTTGAACTCTTATCTTTAGTTCTTTCCATAGATTTTCTGTTGGATTCAAGTCAGGTGATTGGCTGGGCCATTCTAGCTGCTTTATTTCCTTTCTTTGAAACCAATTGAGAGTTTCCTTGGCTCTGCAGTTGGGATCATTGTCTTACTGAAAAGTCCACCATCATTTCATCTTCATCATCCTGGTAGATGGCAGCAAATTGTTATCAAGAATGTCTTGGTACATTTTTTGGTGTTTTTTGGGTGACGTGCAGTGCCATTTGTCCTCCAAACATGGCGTGTATTATGACATCCAAAAAGTTCAAATTTGGTCTCATCTGACCAGACTATATTCCCCCAGTATTTCACAGGCTTGTCTAAATGTGCAGCAAACTTTCTATGAGGGTTTAACATGCTTGTTCTTCAGCAATGAAATGTTGTGTGGTGAGCGTGCATACAGGCAATGGCGGTTGAGTGCATTACTTATGGTTTTCTTTTAAACAATTGTACCTGCTAATTCAAGGTCTTTCTGAAGTTTTCCACAAGTGGTCCTTGGCTTTTGGACAACGCTTCTTTTCACTGTCAGAAATCTTGCGAGGAGCACCTGGTCATGGCCGGTTTATGGTGAAATGATGTTCTTTCCACTTCCTGATTATAGCCCCAACAGTGCTCATTGGAACATTCAGAAGTTTGGAAATGATTAAAAATGTAATAAATTAAAAAGTATTAAATTTCAGTTAGCATGTTCAATACTTTTTCCCTGTGTCATTCCATTTTATAATACATCAAACTGTACATCCTTCTGTAATCTTATGCCATCAGTATGTTTTGAAACAGTAAGGTTGCGAAGGTCTTGAGAGAGCTCCTTGCTTTTACCCATCATGAAAGGTTTCTGAGACACCTTTTTATAGGCCAGCTGATATTAATTTGCACTGACAAGGGGCAGGATTGCTTTATAGTTACGGATAGATTTCAGCTGGTGTCTTGGCTTTCCATGTCTTTTTACACCTCCCTTTCTTCATGTGTTCAATACTTTCTCCCTGTGTCATTCCATTTTATTACACATAACTTAATTTCTGAACTTATTTGTTTTGGTTTCTTTGTGTGTATGGGTTGCATGGGTTGTTACCGACATGTGATGAAAATTTCATGTCAATAGCACCTTTAGAAATAAATTTACCAAGAAAAATGGTGACGTGTTCAATACTTATTTTAGCCACTGTATATCTATATATCCTACAAAAAGATCAGAAGTAGACTACTGATACTTACCAGCTTATAACTAGTGACAGGCTTGTTCCTCAGTGCTGGTGGCCTGTATGCTTGAGCTGGTTTGCTCTCCTCTGCTGGTATTTCTCCAGGTACGGGCTGATAAATAATGGGCTTTGCTGGAAAGACCCCATCTGTAAATGGCTGCCAGGACACCTGCCACAGTTCTGTATTGTCTGGTACATCATATTGATGTAATATAGAACCTGTGTAGTGCCAGATCTTATAACCATTGCCAACTCGCAATCTTGGAGAACAGGTAGCAGTGACAATATGTTCCCCATTAGGACACCAGGCAAAATAGGTTGCATCAGAAGCTGTTGGCTTGGAAATAAGTTTGTAATTTTTGATGTCCCATACTTCCATTTGGCCCCTCAGGTTACCAAACCCAGCTAGTACCAATATGTGTCCTTGTGGGCTGTAGAAGGCAGCATTCCGAGGGCCAGTTCCAAAATCGAAAATGGGATCACATTTTAGGTTGAAAACAGTAGCTTTGGCTGGCATAAAACCATAAACAACACAAAATTCTGTTGAATTTTTGTTCCACACTACATCATAAATGGGACCATTTTTTGCTGGAAAAGGAAAACAGAAAGAGTAGAAAATTACATTTCAACATTTCAACCAATACTGGTTTTTAAAAACTGAAACCAGCATACAAATATCTATGCAACACAATTCTGCTGTGAATTAAAAATGTATATAAAGGCAAACATTTTTTATAAATATATATTTATTTTTTCTATTTGGCGGGGGGGGGGGGGGGGGGGGGGGGGGGGGGGGGGGGGGGGGGGGGGTTGGGGGGGGGGGGGGGGGGGGGGGGGGGGGACTGCTGTGTGTGTGAGGGGGGGCACAGCACACTACTGTGTATGTGTGTGTCTGTGTGTGTGTGTGGGGGGTGGGGGGTGATGTGAAGGTGGAAGGTTGCAGAGCACACTACTGTGGGAGGGTGATGTGAGAGAGGCAGAGGACACTACTGCAGGGGTGGTGATGTGAATGGGGGTTCAGAACACTGGTGTAAAGGGGCAGAGGATACTGATGTAAGAACAGGATTGTGATATAAGAGGAGAGGTGGCCATGATGTGAAGGATCCGAGTCACTGGACAAGCATGCGATTTTTGGACCTCTGCTGGAAGAACGTTTTACTGATCAGACCTCCATGGATTTTAATTCCCTACCCCTGCTGTAAAGGATAGGAGAGTTTAGTTCTGAGTTTAGTATGCCTAACTGGCTTCCTTCCTTGTCTCTTTTCACATGAACATATTGAACAGAATTAAGTTCATCAAAAAAGTTGGGTTATTACACTTACGTAACTGCACAACAGCACTTTCCCCATTTACTGCAATGTAGTGCAGTGTCTGCTCCCCATAGTAAGAGGCTCCTGTTTTGTCCACGTCAGTGCTGGCAGTGACTAGTACCGCAGTAGCTGTTACATAAGAAACATAACACAGTGTTTTAAAGGTGAGACGAGAAGGAAGTAATGGAGCCTAAAATGACCTGGCAGAAAAGATTAAGCATAGTTATCTTTTATAACAACATTTATTTCTTGTCTTGCTAAACCCTTATACAACAGTACAATCCCACCAGCAGAACAATGAAACAAGCTACAGCAATGCAGCAAACTGCTAATATGGTAGACTAAGAAAAGCATCAAGACATTTTAAATTAATTACCTCGTAAACACTAGCAATGACAGGTTGCTGGAGGATATTGTAGCCGAAAGATTTGAACACTACTGTAGTATTTAACGTAAACCTGCCGGTACATAAAACTACCTTCACTGACATTATAATTGAAATGCAGACACTAGAGTACCTACATGTAACCTTTATCTATTCTCTCATCACCCTGGATGCCCCAAAACCCAAGGAACTGAAATAAGCAGTGAAATTCAAGTGCTAGCCTTCCCATTCTGCAAACGGTCACTGGATACCTCTGCATTTAATGGTAGGTAACAGGCTGTTTCATGCCATGCATGACACTTTCCAAATATTAGAATGCTTGCATTTAAAAAATGTGTTTTAATCCTTAATATTGTTCTGGTTTCAATGATTTGTTACAATACGCTATGTACTAGGGATGCACAGAAATTTCGGCCACTGAAACATAGCCTTATCGGCATTTTGCCGATAGGAAAAATTTTGCAGATACAGGGGACTGTGTGTACTGCAGATGTGATGGGGGGCAGAGAAAGGCAGGAGAGGAGGAGCGTATACAGTGACTAGCTGGCACTATATGTCAGTGCCGGTTTTTAAATGTATTTACCAGCTTTTTCTTTCTTCACTGTAGCTCAGAAAATAAGCTGTCACTTTCCCCAAGCTAAATGAAACAGTATTTCTTTTTAGTTTCTTTCCCAGAGCTAAAAGAAACAAAGTTTCCATTAGCTCTTGTTAAAGTGACAGCTCATTATCTGAGCTATAGTGAATATAAAAAAAAAAAGCGGCAATTGCATTTAAAAAACCGGCACTGACATATAGTGACAGCCAGTGAGGGAGCCTCTCTGTATACACTGCTCCTCTCCTGCCCCCTTCTTGCACTTATTTAGATCCCTGCTAATAAGTGCTGCGATAAAATCAGTTATGATATAACCACATCTGAGTGGAGTTTTATATTAAGACAGAACAGTAAATCACACAAGCACAGCCTGTATACGTAATAAACACATATGGTTTCACAATTGTGGCCAAGCAAACGTTTTCTAGTGCCTGGAAACCCCTCACTTGTGCCTTGTTGAAACAAAAAACATAGGATCACCTAAGTGACGATCAACGCTACAACTGAAGCCGCGTTGCAAGGTAGGGTCCTTATACTGCATTATGGCAACCATGGATTGATCATTTCCTTCCACTGAGCTTTGACTCACCCGTTAGAATCCTGATTACTTGATTTTGGTTTTCTTTGCCTGTTTGATTATCTTGGCTCCACCCACTGACACACTGGGATCCCCTTCCCCCTCTACCCCTCCTCTTTCCACTCCCCTTCTCCCCCCCTCCTTCTGTCCTTGTAACACTTGATAGGTTATATTGTTGGCATAAGTGGGAACCTATGTTCCGATATATGCTGTTTTTTTCTGTTCTCCTATTAAGCACTGAAACACCATGGTCCCCAGGCTACCTTTTATACCACACTCGAAACATAAACTATGGCCAAAACTATTTTGGCCATACTTCTCTTGTGGGTCACAGGAGTATACTTATTTCTGCACTCCAGTGACTTAAGATTCAGCTGGCAACAGGCAAAGTCCGCTGTTGGCTAACATCACAGAGCCATTCCAGGCCCTGCAGGGATCACAACAATAATGTCCAGATTTGCCCAGATGTCTGGCCGGCAGCTGGCTCAGCCTTTCAGTGTGCTACTGAGAGCTTGAGCCAACCACTCCCACCCCCTTCACAGAGCAAAGGGCTAGTGATTGACAGCCACCACACTGCTCAGTGAAGCCTGAGAACTGAACGACCAGCGGCCATGTGATTGCTCAGTTCTCGGTCTTAAGGCCAGCTGGGGAGAGCTGCAGCATTAGATCGATGCTTCAGCCATCTAAGTGAGTATGTATGTTTATTTGGCTTTTTCTCCCCCCAATTACACACTTTATTGCTTTTTGGATAAGTTCTACTTACTGTATGTATCGCACCCTTAGGGCTTTATTGCTACTGTAAATGCTGTTTTCTCAATAAAAACCTTTGAACAAGAACAAATATGGCTGCCTTCATCTACATATAAGACTGCAAACTATACATAGATAACTTTTAATACAAATGCATTTGGTAATATTTATTTTATATTGTTATATTACCATAACGCTTCCTTTCTTACTCCTGGTGGCTTAATGGAGCAGCGGGGAAGTCAAATAAAGGTTAGTAGGGGGGAAATTTACTAAAACTAGAGCACTCAGAATCTGGTGCAGCTGTGCATGGTAGCCATGGTAACTTCAGCTTTTTCAATTAAGCTTTGACAATAAAATTTGGAAGCCGATTGGTTTCTATGCAGAGCTGCTCCAGATTTTGCGTGCTCCAGTTTTAGTAAATCTACCCCATATGTGTTGCTGGGGCTGGGAGCATCAAAAACAGACCAGATACTTTGCCCGGCATGGGCACAGGTTTGCTTTAAACTGATCATATTTTCATGTATATCTACAATGCTTTTGATAATATTTATATAAAGGCAAATTTGTACTTGTCCCAATTAGACCTTATGCACACTGCGCAGCTTAAAAAACCGTTCATAAAGCTATATTTTGCAAACGCACTGAGGTGTATCAAGCATTTATGCATTCATTCATTCCACTGGCCAAAATATTAATCTATTCTGGCCACTGAAATGAATGAATGCTCATGCACTAAAAGCATCATGCGTTTAGACCCGTTTATAGGCATTTAAGCATGTCGGCAAACACTTCTCTCCTGAATGCATAAGTGATTTTTTTTTAAGAGCCTCTAAATGCACCTCTATGAATACACCTGCAAACGCCTATGTGTGCATGGCCACATAAGCTAACATAGAACGTCGTGTACAGGCTAAAAAGTCTTCTTAAAAGAAGCAATTTATTTATTTTGTTTACATCCAGTGTTCATAAGGCCTAAGGTTAGCTTTAATGCTCCTCTACCCAGCAGTACATAGCCATTTTACCTTCACCCCCTCTGCTGCATTTGACTGCTAAGACTTGGGTACATGCTAGCTACTCAAGTGTAGGACAACAAGGTGACATAAGGGTGGAAAGTGAGCCCACAACCGTGTTTATTCTTCACCTACAATGCGGCAGTGAACCTGAATGAAGATATGTGTGTTTATGGTGAGGAGCATTAAAGAAGACCTGTTTTTTGCTCTGCATGTGCAAAGCACAAGTTTGCTTTGAGGTATTCACATGCATATCTACAAAAAAAAAAAATAAAGATTCCCTTTAAAGAAAGTGCTCCAAAACACTCATTGCAAAGTATAAGATATACGGTTTATGGGATAAAAATTACCTTTTGAATTCCATAACATGGTGACCCGATCTGCTTTGAAGAAACTCTTATTTGCTACTGCTGAATGGGGTCCACTGAAGTTAGGATATTGGTAAAGTCTCACAAATGATGGAGCTCCTTTGCTTCCAGGAACGTAAACTGCTACCTAGAAGGGGTAAAAAAAAAAAATGTTCCATGCTTCTTGTGCCAATACCAATAAAATATTGCAGTTTACTTTTTTTTTTATATCAGAAGTCTTTTTTTTTTTTTTTTTTGAGGGGAGCTCTGTACTGGTGGGATTGGGGGGAGTTCTTTCTTTGGTTATACACGGGCCTATGTTACCCACTCCTGCACTCTATGATATACACTTTTAAATCCTGTATTCTGTGCATTCCTGAACCTTACACGTTCTGAGCACTGGCCACACCTGTGTACACCTTATAAATATGAAAACTTTGAGCTCGCAGAGGACAAGTTCCCTCATTCAAACTCAGTCCCATAGTCCACTGTCCCTTAAAATGCTACAGGACTATTTAAACAAAGCTTCAGAAAAGACATTAATAAAATGAGAGTTCACCTTTGCAACAATTAAAAACTAAATTATAAAAGTATCCTTGTGCTGAAACATTGATTCTATTTCTGTGAACATGGGGGAATCAGGTACAAGTAGCGGAGGGTGGCAAGAAAGTGTGAAGCACCATTCCAACCCTATTTTTACATAAAAGGTCAATTACAAATAAAAGACTGAACAGCATCACATTACTTTCAAAGGAGTTTAGAGAGATGCTGAAATAGTCACAAAAGTTCCTGAATTCATTTTTCTACTCTGCAGCCTCTCCACTGGCAAAATCATACAATCTTGTGCTAATCAACTATTGTGTGACTTGACAAACATTTGAAATTCTGGATAAACCCTCTGCACATAGCTATATACCCTTTCTAGCAAACTTTGCAATAAAAATAGGGATTTTTAGCTCACACATATTCCAAGACATGTTTAAACTGGCCAACTGTGTCAAAATAATCCCTTTGGCCAGTCCTAGTCTGCTCTGCAAATGCATGGGGCAAACAGACACAAAGTGGGAGAGCTATTAAGTATTATGCGGTACTTTTTCTCTGTTGAAAAACATTTGGGGGAACAGAAGGGCTGAAAAACTTCCCTTTTCTGAAGTAATGCTACTTTGGGCCACCTTCTGAGCCATAAGACATGCAAGCTGCAATCTTTGTGGGACAGCTCCTTGGTCATATGAGGTCTGCTGAAGCAATTTCCAAATGACTTAACATCCTCTTCAGCAAAAATCATATAACCAACCAAGTGACTAGACCCTCTCACTAGGCGAGCAGCACTAGAGGGAGCCCAGACCAGAATTTCCTCCAAGACAGGTATTCCAGTTTTGTTAAACTGTTAGGACAGGTTTGTTAACACCTGAGGCTGCATTCACACTTGAGCATTTTGTAGCTTAAAGTTTGAAGGTCCAAAAAAAAGCTCAAACTTAAAAAATCAATTGTTCTCTATGGTGCCTGTTCACACCTGATCGCACGAACAGGCACATAGAGAACAATTGATTTTTTAAGTTTCAGCATTTTTGGAGCTTTGACCTTCTAGCTTCAAAACGCTAAAGTGTGAATGCAGCATAAAGAGAAGTATGTCCAAAACGCTTTTGGCTGTACTTCTGTGAATCACAGGAGCGCTGCACACCTGTGACCCGTTTTCAGCTGACAGCTGAAGCCCACTGTCGGCTGATGTCACTCAGCCGGTCCAGGCTGGATAAAGATTCTGACTTTAAAGTCAGGATCCACCCCAGAGTTTAGAGCGGAACCTGAGAGCCTGAGCCAGCTGATCCCTCCTGCTCCACAGTCCAGCGCTCCAGTAAGCACGGGGTGGATAGAGCAGACAGCGATGACCAACAGCAGCGGTGAGAAGTCAGCAATCAGCAGTCATGTGATCGCTGAGTTCTCACACAGGGGACAGATGCAGCAACGGACAGATGCTGCATCCACCAAGGCAAGTATGCTTTGGGGGGGAAAAAAAAAAACACAAAAAAAAACTTCTCTTTTAAGAAAATTAAAGATTTGGTGACCAAACTGAAAGGATAGAAATGGATATGTGGCAAAAAGAAGCATAAATTGACAAACACATTCTACTTTCTAAATGAGCAGGCTTTAGGTCTTATAAGATTTACCAAGACAGAGCGAGAGATATATATATATATATATATATATATATATATATATATACATACATACATATATATACACACTGAAGACAACTATCTGTTGGGACAAACTGCATATTGCTTTTTAATTTATCAGATTTTAAATGAAGCACATTAGCCATGAACTGACATGGTGATACTCTACCTTGCAAGGATGATCTCCAGGTGACAATTCAAAATCACTTACTTTCTGTAAGTGCAGTTTATTTGCAATGACATCTGCCAAGAAAAAATAATATTAATAAAGCTTCTACTTAACTGTGAAAGCCTAAAATCCATGAAATATATACAGATCAGCCATAACATTATGACTACCACTGTAACCCATCGACCTGGACTCCAGTAGACCTTTGAAAGTATTCTGTGGTATGTGCCACCAAGCCGTTAGTAGCAAATCCTTTAAAGCTGGCCATACATGGATCAAAATTCAGAAGGTTCAGCAGGGACCAGCTGAATTTCAATCTATGTATGGGCAAGGAGGTTGTACAGAATTCAATCCACAAATTGACTTCTGCACAACTACACTGTCAGATCTTCCCCGCTCGATCAGTAAGGGAAGCTATAGCTTGCAATGCTGATCAGTGAATTTGGACAGCGGTGAAGTCTCCCAGCTGTCAGAATACAATAGCTTAGCAGGAAGGATTACCCCCTTTCACATCAAGTAAGTGGATAGGGGAATCAATTTTATTTTTTTTTCTTCCTTTGACCCACTGGTTGAACGAAAAAAACAAAAATCACTCATCTATGGGTAGCCTAAGGCTTGTAAGTTGTGAAGTGGGGCCTCCATGGATCAGACTTGTGCTTCCAGCACATTCCACAGACACTTGACTGGGTTGAGATCTGGAGAATTTAGAGATCAAGTCAACAGCGCAAACTTGTTGTTGTGTTCCTTCAAACCCTTCTTGAATTCTTCTGCCCAGGCAACCTTCTTCTATTTCTCCGTGGTCCAGTTTTTTGTAGCTTATGTGCCCATTGAAACATTTTTGGCAGTGTATATGGGTCAGCATGAGCACTCTTACCAGTCTGCGGCTATGCAGCAGTCCTATACGCAACAAGCTGCAATGCATCAGTACAGCACTAACTTTTTTTGCACCTCAGCTACAGTAGCTCTTCTACTAGACCAGACTACATAGGCCAGCCTTCGCTCCTTACGTGCATCAATGAGCCATGGCTGCTCATGGCCTTGTTGCCAGTTTTCCTTCATTGGACCGCTTTTGTCCTGACCACTGCAGACTGGGAACATCCCAGATGACTTGCAGTTCTGAAGATAGTCAGACCCAAATCTTTACAATTGCCCTGTTTCACGGACAACATGTTCACTTGCTTTCTAATGTATCACACCCACTTACAGGTGCCATTCTAACAAGATGATCAATGATATTCACTTTACCTGTCAGTGATCATAATGTTATGGCTGATCAATGTATACATCACCAAGCTGTCAACTCAGCAACAAAAAAAAAAAACCTTTCAGATTTAAATTTATCATTTCTCCAAACTCTGGATCAATCTGGTTGCTTTAAGGCAATGCAGACAGTTCTACAAGATAAAAGTGTTAAATCAACGAGGACCCCTTGAAATGAGTTGCTCTGTGCCAAGACATGAATATAATCTGGCAGGAAGAGGTAGATTTTGTTTGCGTATAAGATAAAATAATAATGTTCCGAGGCACAAAACCCAGTGATCTGAGATGTTGTTCATTCACATTTATGATGAGCTTGGTGTTGAAAAATCTCTCTGAGATGAAGATCATATATGCAACAGGAAATAATGGAAAGACATATTCTGTTGCTTATATTCAGGATCTGAAGCTTATTGCTGTCTTACCATTTATCAAATACGCAGAATATTACACAGCACTCATTAAAACTAGTGATAGTGTGACTCAGGAAAATTAGACCAATACAAAATGTATTTTATATATTTACTTTGAGTGCCTAGGATTAAAGTTTCAACTATTTTTTTCCTCAAATTTCAGATAGCAGTTTGCTACTCTCTATTACAATCTTTTATAAGTAAAACCTTCATACGCTATGGCAGCTATATCTATCAGATGTAACTGGTAACCCTGTCACTTGAATCATTACACAAGGGGTTATTTACTAAAGCTGGAGAGTGCAAAATCTGGTGCAGCTCTGCATAGAAACCAATCAGCTTCCAGGTGTTATTGCCAAAGCTTAATTGAACAAGCTGAGTTTAGAAGCTGATTGGCTACCAAGCACAGCTGCACCAGATTCTGCATATACCAGGTTTAATAAATCTCCCCCACAGTCTCCTTTTAATGGGAATCGGTTGGAACCTCAGGTCGCAACACCCTGCAAGACCCTGCCTGCTTCTTTTTAAAATATATCTTTCTTCAAAAGTAACAGACTGTTCTGACCAAACATTTAAATTATTCTCTCTCTAAAGTACATTTTGATTGTCAACACAGTAAATGCATTCTCACACAAGCAATATATTTAGAACTGCTAGGTTGTAAAGAAACAACAGATGTAATAACAGTAAACCAGAAGTGTCATTCCATGGCCCTCAGCCAGTCCTCCTTTTAGTTGTCATATCCTATTAACCACTTGCCGCCCAGCCACTGTAGAAATATGGCGGCAGGGTGGCACGGCTGGGCAAAAGCATGTTTTAAAACGCGCTTTTGCAAAACAGGTAGGGGGTGCTCCGCCGCCCTACCTGCACCGCCGATCCCGGCCGTGGGTGTCAGTTGCCAGGTCACGGCCGGTCATTACTGGCCGTGTCCCGCCGATTAGCGGCAATCACTGACAGAGGGAAGGGCTGCAGTAGCTCTGCAATCTGTCAGTTCCCTGACAGCTCCTGACACGCTGATCGGGAAAGAAGAGTTTATCTCTCCCGATCAGCGTGGCCCCGTGCAGTACACACCCCTGCCCCCTAGTAAAACACTCCCCTCACACAGTTAACCCTTTCAGTGAATAAAAAAGTTAACCCCTTCCTCCCCAGTGCCATTAGTACAGTGTCAGTGGTTTTTTTTTTGCACTGATCACTGTATTGGTGTCACTGGGGATGTCAGTAACCCCAAGTCAGTTTACCCCCCAGTGTCAGAATGTCCGCCGCAGTCCTGCCATAAGTCGCTGATCACCGCATTAGTATAAAAAAAATTAAAAATCCGAGTATCTTTCCCACCATTTGTAAACGCTATAACTTTCACGTAAACCAATTAATTTACACGTATTGGGTTTTTTTTTTTTTTTTTTTTTAGTAAAGACATGACGCAGAATGCATTTTGGCTGAAATTTATAACGAAAATTTTTAAATTTTTTTTACTGGACATATAGCAAAAAGCAAAAAAAATTATTGTATAGCACAAAAAATAAAAAAAAAAAAAACGCACAGGCGATCAAATACCACCGAAAGAAATCTATTTGCAAAAAAAGTAAATTCTATTTATGTACCATTTTGCATAACAGTTGTCCGTTAAACTAGCGCACGCTGTATAAAAAAAAATGGCGTTTCACACATACCATAGTTTGTAGACGCTATAACTTTCACACAAAGCAATCAACATACACTAATTGGGATTTTGTTTACCAAAAACATGTAGCAGAATACATTTTGGCCTAAATTTATAACCAACTTTTTAGTTTACTATATATTTTTTATAGCTGAAAGTAAAAAATATTGTTTTTCTTCAAAATTTTTGGTCTTTTATTGTTTATAGCGTGAAAAATAAAAAGCGCACAGGTGATCAAATACCACCGAAAGAAAGCTCTATTTGTGTGAAAAAAAGGACGTAAATTTCGTTTGGGTGCAGCATTGCATGACCGCGCAATTATCAGTTGAATTAGTGCAGCGCCGAGTAGCAAAAAGAGGCCTGGTCATTAAGGGGGGTAAATCCTCAGGAGAGCAAGTGGTTAAGTAATAATCAGAAAGAGCCTTTATCACTTCTGGTAAACATCTTGCATTTTAGGTAAATCTGGATTTCTATTCCAATATTAGACCATGACAGTGTTTTACTAGATGGTATGTTTTTCTATTTTGCTAATTACTAGCATACCAAAATTGTTGTCTTCAAAGAACTGCACTTCATTGTTTACATTCCTGGCACATATCTTCTCATCTTCAGACCAGCAAGGAGACCTAGAACAACCCAAGACATGTTACTGGGTTTAATAAACAAACAATATACATCAAAATTGTAAAACTAAAATTCCAAAACAAAGACAAGTAAGATCAACTAGGAAAAAAAATACAAATAATGGGTACAATACTTAAAGTGGAACTTTAGTCAGAAAATTAAACCCTGCTAGCCCCTATTGCAAGTATAGCAATTCTAAAACATATTAAAAATATGACCTCAGCAGTCTGTAGTGGGACATTGATTAGGGTAATAACACAGAGCTCCACTAGCCTGGTGTAACACGTTGCCAGGTTCATATTGTCTTCTGTAGCATATCCCTAGCCAAAAATGTAGCATATCCACACTCTCTGGCCCTCATTTCCTCAATTAGGTCTGCATTAAATATATTGAACATTATTTGTGGCCTTTTGATGATGGCTGAAGCTGCAACTGAGGCCATATTTAGCTCATAAGTTGACAACTAATGGCCTAAACATCCAGTAATACTGTCTCACCCTGCTCTGAACATGATTAGTTTTGTTTCTCTCTATCCTTGGCGCTGTGCCTAAAATCAGAGCCACCTGGGAATCTCTCCTCAATGCAAAACACATGAAAGCCTGCTTGGAGTTTGTAAAAGCTTTATTGCAAACTCCAAACAGGATTTCATGTGTTTTTAAAGCAGAGTTCCACTTGTCTGCCTCCTGCCCCCCTCTGCTGTCACATTTGGCACCTTTTTGGGGAGAGTGGGTACCTGGCTTTGACAGGTACTCAATCCCACTTCCAACTTAGTTCACCGTGGTGAACTGACCCAGAAGTTCAGCCCCCTCTTTCCCCCCGCAGCAAGGCTGGTTTCCTTTAGTCAAGATGAATAAATGGCTTGGGTGAAGACACCGCTGGATACCTGGACAGGTAAGTGCCCTAATAGTAAAAGTCAGCAGCTGCAGTATTTGTTGCTACAGACTTAATTTTTTTTTTTGTTGGGGGGGGGGGGGGGCAGAAACTCCTATATAATGTTTCCAGGTTTATTCCGCCAAGAAATTGGGAAGGGGCAATTAGCAATTCTCCTCCCATTTTTCATGCCGATTCCCCTTGCATCAGTCCCAGGCTCACACAGAAGGTGAGACCGTGGACGAGAGTGTTTTTTGCCAAGTGCCTACTAACAGCAGCCAAATAAGGCACCCAGTAAAAAGAAACTTTACATGGCTTGTTTCTGCTAATTTCTCACATAAGTTTAAGTGTTTGTGCAGTCAACAGTAACAATGTTAAAATGTATGTGGTTCTAAAAATGTTAAACAAAACTACATTGTCTTTTTCTAAGTAAAATATATATTGATTTTATGAACTGCTGAAGCCTAATAACCTTTCTCATACTTCTTGGCCAGATACTTACCAATTCTGCATCTTTTTCTGGATAAAGGATTTCACACACTTTCCATTTTTCAGGTCATACAGTTGTAGATTGGGAACACCTGCTGTGCCATCCTTCCCAGCTTTTAAAGAAGCAAACAGAATAAATCTTAAGCAGCATAGATACATGCATCATTAAGGGGTCTATTTATAAAAAAAAAAAAAAATATGCATGGCTATTTATCCAGCAAAACTGCACGTACATTCATTCGGTTTGAATTACCCATAATTCTCCAATTAGTTTTAATTTTTTTTGCACAATGTATAAAGCTGTGGTTGTTGTAAAAAACTCAAATGTTCTTTGGTTCCTTGTAAACTTTGAGGTTAGGTGAATGATGGATACTTGAATATTTTATTGTGAATATTGGCACATACCCAAAGAGAAAACTATAAAGGCAGCTGATCGCTTTTACGGAGTCCGGTGACCACTTTTACAAAAAGGCTGAGAACTGGCTGTACAAAAGAGACACAAACTCACAGTCATTGCTATGGATGAGAGCTTTTGACCCTGGGTGTACCAGACATGTCCAAAGAGCTCAGGTCAATAAAGAAACAAATTGATACAATACACCAAGCTACTACATAGTATTAAATATTTTAAAACCTTCATTTATATTTTTCTCCATTTTAGCCAAAGACTAAGCTGTCTGGCAAAAGTGACAGTGATGGAAATTAGAACAAACCATGTCATTGCCAGGGGGAGTTTACAATGCCTACCTTTTAATGATATGGTTCAAATCATTTGTTTAAAAAATACAAATACTCAAGAGTGACTTTTAGGTCTAACACCTTGTTCATGACAACACAAGCACTGACATCAATTAATTCAAAGAACAGCCAGCACTCTACTTGTAATCCAGTAAATTTAGTTCATGTAGATAAAGACATCAAATCAAAGTTTCAGAGTCTTGCAGGGACATTTAACAAAGTACTTAAAGTGTTACTAAACCTACAACAGTAAAATCAGCCTGTCCATGCAGTAAAACATGCTTGTTACAGTGCATCCAGGAAGTATTCACAGCGCTTAACTTTTGCCACATTTTGTTATGTTACAGCCTTATTCCAAAATGGTTTAAATTAATTTTTTTCCTCAACATTCTACAAACAATACCCCATAATGACATCGTGAAAAGTTTGTTTTAAAATCTTTGCAATTTATTAAAAATAAAAAAAAAAAGGAAAAAAAAAAAAACACGTACATAAGTATTTACAGCCTTTGCTCAATACTTTGTTGAAGCACCTTTAGCACCAATTACTGCCTCAAGTAGTTTTGAGTATGATGCTACCAGCTTGGCACATCTATTTTTGGGCAATTTCTCCCATTCTTCTTTACAGTACCTCTTTACAGCCATTTCTCTCCAGAGATGTTCAATCGGTTTCAAGTCTGTGCCACTCCAGGACATTCACAGAGTTGGCCCATAGCCACTCCTTTGTTATGTGGGCTGTGTGCTTAGGGCTGTTGTCCTGTTGAAAGATGAACTGTCCCCAGTCTAAGGTCCAGAGCGCTCTAGAACAGGTTTTCATAAAGGATGTCTCTGTACATTGCTGCATTCATCTTTCCTTCGATCCTAACTAGTCTCCCAGTTCCTGCCATGGAAAAACATCCCCACGGCATGATGCGGCCACCACCATGCTTCACTGTAGGGATGATATTGGCCAGGTGGTGACCGATGCCTGGTTTGTTCAGACATGACGCTTGCCATTCAGGCCAAAAGTTCAATCTTTGTTTCATCAGACCAGAGAGTTTTGCTTCTTATGGCCTAAGAGTCCCTCAGGTGCCTTTTGGCAAACTCCAGGCGGGCTGCCATTTGCCTTTTACTGAGGAGTGGCTTCCGTCTGGCCACTCTACCATACAGGCCTGATTGGTGGAGTGCTGCAGAGATGGTTGTTCTTTTGGAAGGTTCTCCTCTTGCCACAGAGAAATGCTGGAACTCTTTCAGAGTGACCATCGGGTGCTTGGTTACCTCCATGACTAAGGCCCTTCTCTCTTGATCACTCATTTTGGCCAGACGGCCCACTCTAGGAAGATTCCTGGTGGCTCCAAAATTCTTCCATTTACAGATGACGGAGGCCACTGTGCTCATTGGGACCTTCAATGCTGCAGAAAGTTTTCTGTACCCTTCCCCAGACCTGTGCCTTGATACAATACAGTCTCGGAGGTCTACAGACAATTCCTTGGACTTAATGGCTTGGTTTGTGCTCTGACATGCAGTTAACTGCGGGAACTTATATAGACAGGTGTATGCCTTTCCTAAACATGTCCAAGCAACTGAATATCCACAGGTGGGCTCCAATCAAGTTGTGGAAACATCTCAAAGATGATCAGTTGGAACAGGATGCACCAGAGCTCAACTTTGAGTGTCATGGCAAAGGCGGTGAATACTTATGTACATGTGTTTTTTTCATTTTTTTATTTTTAATAAATTACAAAGATTCCAAAATGAACTTCTTTCATGTTGTCATTATGGGGTATTGTTTGTTGAATGTTGAGGGAAAAAATGGAATTTAATCCATTTTGGAATAAGGCTGTAACATAACAAAATATGGCAAAAGTTAAGAACTGTGAATACTTTCTGGATGCACTGTATACTCACTGTGGAAACTAAGGGGTTAATCCTCTGCATTGTGTAAAAAGGCAGTTTGATCCTTTCTTCTCTGTTCCTCCCCTTTTTCAAGCTTATCTCCTGATAAGACAGACTGAACTGTAGGCATTTGCACATGCTCAGTTTGGTGCGTACTGCTAGAGGTTTTTTTTTTTCTTGGGAGAGTGCATGTGATCAGCACAGGGCCAATCAGCACTGGTCAAACAGAGGGTCAGGGGTTTTGCATCCTCCTAGAGAAGAAAGAAAACTCCTCCTACAATCTTTAGCTAGTTCTGGGCTGGACACAGATAGAAGTCACAAGACTGCTCTAACTTCTGATGAGAAAATGTATTTATCAGTTTAGATTTACTAAAATAATTGCATTTCCATGTTCTGTGTACTGTGGGAGACCAGATATAGAGGATGCAGGGTCCTGGATTTAGTAACACTTTAAACAATAAAAACATCTAAACCTTGGTAAACAAGCCCTGCAAGATTCTAAAACCTCTGTGTGAGGTCATGTGGAGCAAACCAGCTAATGAGTCGAATCCAGAAATGTTTTGCAAAGGGTAAATGTTCCATGCTAAAGAAGAAGATGGCCAATAAGGTTGTGGTGTCTTTAAAAACAAGAACCAGATTTCTGGAAATATTAACAGTTTTATTTACACGTAACAAGCAAGTAAATATACATTTGAAAGCATTTTGTTAACAGACCAAAATGGAGCAAACAAAATAAGGTAAAATTATATTAAATCCTCAGTTTTTAAGTACTTTCAGCAGCTTATTCAGTATGCAACTTCATAGTTACATAGTTAGTCTGACTGAAAAAAAGACAAAAGTCCTCCTAGTTCAACCATTTATAAAGTTATAATCCTATACCCACAGTTGATTCAGTGGAAGGCAAAAAAAAAAAAACCAGCAGAGCATGATCCAATTTGCTCCTGCAGGGGAATAAAATTCCTTCCTGATCCCTGAGAGGGAATCGGATATTCCCTGGATCAACCCCTCCTATAAATGTTAGTATTCAGTTATATTATGTTTATCTAGGAAACAATCCAGGCCTTTTTTATAGTAATCCACCGAGCTGGCCAGAACCAACTCTTGAGGGAGTCCCTAGTCCACATTTTCATAATTCTTATTTATATTTGGACATTAAATCTCTTTTCCTCCACACGTAAAGAGTGCCCCCTTGTCATTTTTTTTAAACCTTGCTTATGCCCCTGTTCAAGCTTGTGCCATGACCGCATCTCCCTACAAATGTATGCTTCAATAGGAAACAAACAGCCTTGTAATCTAGGATGCTAAGGCATTTCCCTCTTCCTCCAAGTTAAGAGACTGACTTGGAGACTGCACTGTCCACTGTTAAAGTGATATTAAATACAATATTAAAAAAAAAAAAATGTTATGCTTACCTGCTCTGTGCAATGGTTTTCAACAGAGCAGCCCTGATCCTTCTGTTCTCAGGACCCCTGCTGGCACTCCTGGCCCCTCCCTCCTGTCAAGTGCCCCCACAGCAAGCAGCTTGCTATGGGTGCACCCGTGCCGGCTCGCTCCCGAGTCGTTGCCCTGTATGTCCATTCACACATAGAGTGATGGCTCAACCTCGCCCCCTACCCCCCTCCTCATTGGCTCACTGGCTGTGAATGACAGCAGCGGGAGCCAATGGCTCCCACTGCTGTCTCAGCCAATCAGGAGGGAGAGTCCCTAAAGAGCTGAGGCACATTGCTGGATCGGGATGGGCTTAGGTAAGTATTGGGCAGGCTGGGGGGGGGGGGCTGCTGCTCACAGAAGGGTTTTTACCTTCATGCATAGTATGCATGAAAATAAAAAACCTGGATCCTTTACAACCATTTTAAATTTTTCCTGTGAAGAGAACAGAACTGAACACTGTAAATGGCAAGTGCTAGGTTAAGAATTTTAACAAACAATTTACTAAGGGAGTGTTTATTGTGCTCAATGTGTTACACTGAAAAGAGATTATCAACATTTTGATCGGCAGGGTTTACGTACATTTTAAAAAGTCAAACTAATTTGCACAGAATCCTTGTCAAGAGACTGCAGTCTTATCTGTAACACAGCTCAGTCTGGCAGCTACGGACACAATGAAGATTATATCAAATGAACAGATTTTCTAAACTTGGCATACTGGCAAAATTTGCAGAATAATGTTTACCATTCTTTGCTTGTCTGGAATTGCTGTTTAATGGCAAAGGATTTTCTGACTTCATTTGGAAAAAACATTTTCTTCATGGGCAACATACTGTATAATGTGCCCTTTAAATTTTTTTGGAAATACGACCAGATGAGCTCAGAGTTACTTTGTGTCTCCAGTGACACTATTTGCGGTCCTGCTGACATTTACTTACTTGTGTAGGTCTGCCATGTTGCCAGGATTGTGTTCTTTGGAGAGAGTTCAAGGCCGACTACTTTAGGCAGATCAAAGGTGTGCAGCGGTGTGCTGTCAGCACTGTTCACTATATTTATTCTGAAAACAGAAGAAGGTCAATTAAAGTCAGATTTCATAGATTAATTATTAAACTATACCACCAATTCTCAAAAGTGTTCACTTCTCATTTGTCTCTTACCACTGCACTGTCACTACATGACACAACACATATTTCCCGTATAAACATTGCATTTTTTGCCATTATGTAATCACATACACGTTGCAGTTAAAATGTACCGTAGTTGTCAAATACATACATGCCTATTTAGCCAACATTATTTCACTGTTGTTGTGTAACCCTGGAATAAACCAATCAGATCAATCCTTACATTTCAGCTATAAGCCTATGAAATTGGCAAAAACCTTTTCAAAGTGTATCTAAACCCAAGAATGCTAGCTGCATTAGTTTTCTTTTTACTTTATGTTTACCTGGTGATCCTGCAACTAACATATTTCATGCCCTGTGACAACAATATACGCTCACTCTACCATGTTTAAAACTACAGAACACTTCCTCCTCCCCTCATCTCTATAACAAGGGTAGAGGTATTCTGTAGTCCACAGAGAACTGGGAACAATGCTGACAGATATCAGCAGAGTCAGAGAGCACAGGACATTATCAGCTTACAAGAGTTCTGGTAGGAGCAACAAGTATTTCTGTACTAATCAAACAGATCACAAACAAAACACTTTCACTGTTACATTTGTGTATATTTCACTGCGGTGGCTGCAGGGAAGAAGAGGAAGCATCAACAATGGATGTGCTATAGAACTGTATAGGTGATGCCACAGCTCTAAGGTATACCAGCCGTTGTTGAGTGCTCTCTCCATTCCCCTGAAGCCACTTCTGACTGACACTGGGGAGGTCACATGACTCAACACGCATGGCCTGAAAGTAGGTAGAAATATATACCTCTTTCTTACAGCGGGTAGTCAGCATAGGTGTTAGGCCTGGTTCACACTTATGTGTGTGTTGCAGTCTGCTTTGGGAAAAAAGTCCTTAACCCTTACCAAAAATGCAGTGACAGAAAACGCATAGATGTGAACATGTCCCATAGGAAACCATGTTAAATGGAATATAGTGTGTTTATGCAAAATGCAAAAAGCACTAAAAAATGCATAAGTGTGAACCAGGCCTTAGGAGGGGGGAGGACGCAAGTTAGGTGTAGCCTGGAATTCTACTTCAATCTAGGTACAAATAAAGTAATATGGCTGCTTTTTCTATCTGATAAAAAATAATCAGTAACATATCAAAAATATAAACATACGGTGTCTAGATTTAAGGTGTATGGGGTTACATACACGAAAGGCCTCAGGAGGAGCTAGCAGCGTGAGATGTCATCCCCTGCCGCGACCACGAGGAGGTCCGGTGGCCATCTTACAAAGGGTCAGTGCTGCAGTACTCTGCCTTTTTTTAACCCCACTTTGTACTGTACCTTCACCCACTCTGTTTGCGTATGATTCTTTCAATAAATGCTGAAATACTACACTATTGGCACCCCTTCTTCTTTGGCTCCCTTTGGAGGAGCTAATTGAATCCCACAGAATCACCTTTACATCTACGTCCAGAGGAGGGAGCCCTGCATACATACTGTCAACCCAGTCATCCTAAAGGACACCTCTGGACCTGTTATACCAGCACTGCATCCAAAACCTGATGATTTGCTGACCTGCGAGGGAGGCCCACCATTTACATGCTGCATATACCCCATCATGTAGTGATTTACATGCGCATTTCCTATGCGTATTTGGTGAGTGCACATTTTTGCTATTTAGCGTTTATCACAGGCTTTGGAAGGATCTGCTGCTGTGGAAGACATCTCTATCTACTATAATCATTTATATTTGTACACATTCATTGGTTCCATTTAGTATATCTTATTGAGCGGACGATTTTATATTTGAACTTTTTTATCAATATTTATATTTTGCATTTACACCTTTAGCGCTGAACTGGTGACAATACAACCCACCAAAATTGGTTCCAGAGAACCAAAACCATTTAACAAGTAAGCTTCCTATACACAGATTTCCAGTCATGAACTATGAGTTAATATGTAGTTGGATACAAACATGGAAATACGACACGATTTCCAGGTGTGAAAGTGACCACATGTTTCACACTGAAAGCGGACATGATGTAACATTGTTTTGCTTCCGTTGTGTGATGAGACACCTAGCTAACAGGTGGGAAGCCTCACTTACGTCATTCACTGCATGCGCTGTCAGTAATCCAGAGTCATGCAAGAGCTTACTGAGCTTCAAAGAGGGTAAATGGTCGGTGCACACTTAGTTGGTGCCTCTGTGACTGAAGTTGTCATTTTATTTGCCATGTCACGAGGTACAGTATCAAATATTATGACAACATATACAGTTTCCAGGAAAATGTTCTCTGATAAGCATAAGCACGGTCGACATGGTCAACTGACTTAAAGAGAGAAAAGGACATTGCGCAGGATTGGGACCTGGAAAAGGAAAACCACTGCTGCAAAGTGACTGCAGAGCTCAATCTCAGCCTTCCAAAGCCGTGTCCATACAAATTGTGCAGAGGGAGATCCATAAGCAAAACATTCAAGAGCTGCAATTGCCAAACCACTACTGACTGATATTAATGCTCAGAAGAGTAGAGAGTGGTGCAAAACCCAGAAATCGTGGACTGTTGATCGATGGAAGACTGTAATATGGTCCGATTAATCGAGCCTTACACATTTTTCAATCACCAGATTTTATGTTTACATGTGGCAAACACTGTCCCAAGCTTACGACCTGGCCTGCTTTAACGTGCCAACGTTAAAGCATGGTAGTGGCACAATCATAATTTGGGCAGGATCCATTCTCATCTTGATCTTGACAGGTAGAGTCACTGCCAGCGAATATGTACAAATTTTGGCCGACCACGTGCACCCCATGCTGCAGACACTGTTTCTCCAAAACAGCACTATTTACCAAGACGATAATGCGCAGATTCACGCAGCTGGTGTTGTCAAATTGTAGTTTGACAGGCATGAATAAAGTCTCGCACCTTCCGCTGCAGTCACCGGACTTCAATATCATAGAGTCACTTTGGTCAATTTTGGAGAACAAGGTTCGGTCTTGTTTTCTGCCTCCGGCATCTCTGTGAGCACTGGTACACATTTTTGCATGAAGCGGTGTCAGATCCATTATCCAACATCCAAGACTTATATTTGTCAATTTCCAGGAGAATTCAGGCCGTCTTGGATGCTAAAGGCGGTCCAACACCATATTAGGTAAGAATTTTGTTCTTTTACCTGGTGTTGCCATAATTTTGTCCAACCTTTATTTCCAGGCGTTTCCCAAATTTACCCCTAGACCTACTTTAGGGCATGTCCTAGCTCTTTTTTTTTTTTGTTTTACTTTGTTCCTCCCTGTGACATCACCACCAGACATGCAGGGGCAGCTGCTAAGAGCTCAGTTTCTATTCATGTATCCCTCAGAACTACATTTCCCATAAGCCCCTTCCCTACACTCAATGTATGCATGGGCTCTTGGGAGTTAAGGCAGCAGCACTGTTTTGACAGGAAAAAAAACAATATATGCATGTAAAGTAGGACAGACAATCAAGCCATCAGATGGCTGGTGTCATAACTGATCACATGTGCAGCACATGGCAACTGCATATTAAACAGAGGCTAAGATGGCAGTTTCCTTGGCTATAAAGGATAGGGAGGTTTAATCCCCTTCAGAGAGCCGTTTCGTAATATGTATAAAAAAAAAAATTTAAAAAAAAGGAAGAAAGAAGAAGAAAACGGAAGTGAAAATATCAATGATCTGTACTAAGAACCACAATAGGAGTTACGGACAAGTTGTATGCTTGCAGTACAAATAAAGGGAGCTCATGCAAAAGTTCTTAACTGTCTTAGGACTAGTGCATGGGCTTTTGATTTGCTACTACTTTCCATTTGCCATGTACATAGATGAAATAAAACAAAGGTGTTCCTTTATTTTCACCTGTTGATTCTGTCAGTAGGGCAATGCATGTGGATGTGGTGCAGCGGTGCAGGTTTAAAGGATTGTCAAGCATTGAGAACGTAACATATTTCCTCTCAGTTGCCTGGCAAAGGCCCTCTGAAAAGTGATCTACCATCGCTTACAGGAGTTTCTACATATACACTACTATTAAAAAGTTATTTTATGTTATAAAATGTAAGAACATAACTTAGTGGTGTACGTTGTATACTGCATATACATGGGCGCTTAAATGTCCCACACAGAGTGGAGTTTTCATTGCAGAGGGATGTTGTTGTCCACCTGTGTGATCCTAGCAGTATGTATTTGCATGGTCTTTATCCAAAAAGGAAAACAAAAACACTTTCTGTACCTGCTTAAAAAGTATTAGCTGAAGATGAACTCAAATTTTTCAGTTACTGATGTAAAATTCATCTAACACTACCCTCTCCATAGGTTGAGAATGCTCCTGTCCAAGGATGGCTATGTTGTGCCTCCATAGATACAGTGGAGGAATGAGTGAAGCCATCCTAAAACAAAAAGGTGAAATACTAGATTGATAGCTGTGATAACTGGGTGAAAATAAAGGGAAAAGGCCTAAAAAAAGGAAAACAAATGCATCCACAACATTTGAGACTGGTAAGCTCCAATATACTAATATACCTTTTTTTTGTTGTTTTTGATTTTAGCTATTCAACTCCTTCCTGACTAAGTAACACATACAGTGGGCACAGAAAAGAACCATCCCCTTTAAAATAATCACATTTTGTTGCTTTGAAGCCTGAAATAAAGACAGACACAGTTTTTGTTTTATCCAGCTGTATCCAAGTGAAAGATATGTCAGAAAAAAATAAAAAAACAATTCAAAAACAGAATCAACGAGTTGGGAAAAAGGATGAACCCCTCCTAAAAATTACTTGTAAACTCAATCAAGTGTAGCTAACCACCTTATCAATGGCACACAAAGTCATTTGACTTTCAACTGTGATCAGTTTGATTAGCTCAGCATGAAAAGAGCCTTCCTGGAGCATGTCAGTCCCAGTAGTGCACCTGAAGCAAACAACCAAGTATGGGTGGAGAGGCACTGTCAAAAGATCTCTGGGGTAAAGTTGTTAAAAGTCAGGAGAGGGAAACAAAAAAAAAAAAAAATCAAATACTTTATCAATGCCTAGAAGCACAGTGAAGTTATTACAAAGTGGAAGGTATTTGGTACAACACAGACCCTCCCTGAATCAGGACGTTGCTCCAAAAGAGCCAGGAGGAAACTGGTCAGAAAGTCAGGAAGAAACTAGTCAGAGGCTACCAAGAGGCCAACAGCAACTCTGAAGCAGTTGCAAGAACTTATGTCAAAGAGTGGTTATTGTCTGCAGGTGTCAACAATATCACAAAGTTGCCACAAATAAGGCTTGTATGGGAGAGTTGCAAGAAAAAAAGCCACTCCTCGAAGAAAGGCCACATGTAGTCACGACTGAGCTTTGCCAAAACTCACCATGAAGATTCCACATGGAAAAAGGTGTTATGGTCAGATGAGACTAAAATGTAATTATTTGGCATCAACACTGAATGATATGTCTGTCAGAAATCCAATACAGCTCACTATCCAAATAACACCATTCCTACAGTAAAGCATGGCGGTGGTAATATCCTGTTATGGGGGTGTTTCTCTGCAGTAGAGGGACTGGAACACTTGTCAGGATAGAAGGAAAAAAAAATGAACGGGGCAAAATAAGGTCAAATTCAAGGAAAATCTGCTGCCCTCTGCCAGAAAGTTGTCAATGGGAAGAAGGTTTACCTTCCAACATGAAAATTACCCAAAGCACACAGCAATAACGACAAAACAGTTGCTGAAGGAGAAAAAGATGAATGTCCTTGTGTGGTCTAATCAGAGCCCAGACTTAACCACAGGGGTGTTACATTCCTATCGCCCGACACCGGGACATGTAGTTCCAGGCGCCGGGCAGGTAGGTTTTTTTTTTACCTTCATCCCTGCAGCGAGCATGCGACAGGGTTCACCTGTCAGGTGAAAGCAATCAGCATCAGCACTGCCACTGATTGCTTCCACACAGTACCAGCCTCCACTCCCCCCTGCGTGAACCTCTCCCTGCCAACTATCTCCTGGGCTCCGCTTCGTCAGCTAGAGTGGAGGGAGGAGTGGACATGTCCACTCCCCTCCCCTTCTTGTCTTATGATGTCACTTTCGGGTCCCCATTGAGAGAAAGAATGTAATGCGGTGCGATGTGCACTGCATTACATTCAGTGTACTACAGGGGAGACATCCAGGGTCTTTTAAACCTTGGATGTCTCAATAAAGAGAACCTGTCACCAAAAATCAGTCCCACTAGTGCACCTGAAGCAAACAACCAAGTATGGGTGGAGAGACACTGTCAAAAGATCTCTGGGATAAAGTTGTGGAAAGGACAAGTCAGGAGAGGGATACAAAAAAAATAAAATCAAATACTTTATCAATGCCTAGAAGCACAGTGAAGTCTATTATTAAGAAGTGGAAGGTATTTGGTACAACACAGACCCTCCCTGGATCAGGACGTTGCTCCAAACTGGATAAAAGAGCCAGGAGGAAACTGGTCAGAAAGTCAGGAAGAAACTAGTCAGAGGCTACCAAGAGGCCAACAGCAACTCTGAAGCAGTTGCAAGAACTTATGTCAAAGAGTGGTCATTGTGTGCTTTTGAGTGGTCACCAAAAATCATCACTTAGGGGACATTGTTTCCTATGTGATGAAAAAAAAGTTAAAAAATTAAAGTTACACCTAGGCACATAACATCTCCCTCCCCCCCACAAAAAAAAATTGAAGCCCCCCCACCCCCACATATACGCACGTACAAACGTAAAAAGCACACACTGGGGCGCCTACGCATGAAAATGGCGATTGCGATACACGTTACATATCGCTGCGCACGCCAGGATGAGAGCAATAATTCTAGCACCAAACCTCCTCCATAACACTAAACTGATGACCTAGTAGGGGCTTTAAAAGGATCACCTATAGAAAATTTAGGGTACTGAAAATTGTCGCCATTTCACAAGCGCACCCAAATTTAAGGTTTGACAAGTTGGATATCTATTTACTCGATGCAACCTCATCTTTTATATTTTACAAAAAAATAGTCATTTATTGATTTTTTTTGTGCCCTAAAATTAACTTACTTGTAATTTTACTGAAATTATGCGGTAATATCATGCAACATAAAAAATTGGAATTACCACTTATTCTCTAAGGTCTCTGCTTTCAGAAAATATATAATGTTTGGGGGATTTATGTAATATTCAGGCCTAAAATTATTTTTTTAATCTTGTGCAAAAAACGCAAAAACGGCTCTGGCAGCAAAAGGGATAAAGGATAAGCCTGACAGTCCCTTTTCCAGAGGAGCACCCAATCAGTGCTCATTACACTGCAAGGTCTCTCCCCTCCCTGCTAGTCCCAGGTTGTGGTGCTGGAGACAGGCAGGGAGGGGAGGAGGAGATAAACAGCGCAATGTTAAAAATGTTACACATTTAAGTCGCCATAAAACGTTTTTTGTTTTTAAAACAGTCCTAAAATCACCTCTGATTTAAATACGGTTTTGGTTAAAATGTATTTATTTTTTTATCTGGACAAATAGATTGTCATAAGGGACAAGAAGATTGGAACACTGATTTAGTCCCTGGACAAGCAGTTTTTTTTTTTAATTTCCACACCCCTGAAACCCCACTGAAAATCTGTGGAATGACTTGAAGACTGCAGTCCACAAATGGTCACCATCAAATGCAACTGAACTAGAGCAAATTTTCAAAGTGTGGGTAAATACTGCAAAGTCTAGATGTGCAAAGTTAGTATAGACATATCCCAACAAAATACTCACACAAAGGGATGATCTTTTTTTCCAACTCGGTGATTGTTTTTTTATTTTTTTTCTGACATATTGGTGTTATATCTTTTACTTGGATGTTATAAGTTGCACTGAGTAAATACAGATGGATAAAACAAAACTTGTCGGTCTTCATTTCAGGCTGCAAAGCAACAAAATTTGATTATTTTAAAAGGAGGAGGGGGGGGGGGGGGGTCTTTTTTACATCCACTGTATATGCGGCATCTAGGAAATGGGCTTTAACCTCTTCCCTACCATGGGACGTCCTTCCCTTCTATGGACATCCTCCCAGAACACGCCCCTGCATGCCCCCAGCGCCGCCGGTGATATGCTGCATAAACGGACACAGCTCATCATGTGATACAGTAAACGGCCAAACACACCAGCCTTTTATCATGTGATCAGCTGTGTCCAATTACGCAGATCACCGGGTAAATACATTTGCCGGTTATTGGCTGCACTTTCCTCACGCTGTCACAGCGTGGGGAAAGTACTGCCGATAACCAGCAATTGTCAGAGAAGTGATCAAAACTGATCACACCACAGCAGTGCCGCCCACCTGTGCCCATCAGTGCCACCCAACTTTACCCATCAGTGCCACCTACCTGTGCCCAGCATTGCCACCCATCAGTGCCCAGCAATGCCGTCAGTCAGTGCCACCCATCAGTGCCGCCTATCAGTGTCACCCATCAGTGCCGCCTATCAGTGCCAGCTAATCAATGCCACCTATCAGTGCCCATAAGTGCTGCCTATCCGTGCCACCTCATCAGTGTCCATCAGTGCAGCCTCATCAACACACATCAGTGAAGGAGGAAAATTACCTGTTTGCAAAATTTTAGAACAGAAACAAAGAAAAACTTTTTTTTTTTCAAATATTTTGCATTTTTTTGTTTATAGTGCAAAAAATAAAAAACCCAGTGGCGATTAAATACCGCCAAAAGAAAGCTCTATTTGTGAAAAAAAAAGATAAAAATGTCATATGGGTACAGTGTTGCATGAACGCAAAATTGTCATTCAAAGTGTGATAGCGCTGAAATCTGAAAATTGGCCTAGGCAGGAAGGGGGTATAAGTGCCCTGTAGGAAAGTGGTTAAGCCTGTGCACTGCATATATATTGGTTCCTGTGTTTGAAACAAATCTGCTGGTCTTGTGCTAGTGGCTGGGAACCGGAGAACCAAAGCCCGTTCACATGATCACTGAGATAGTCTGTATTTGGCTATCACAGTGCTAATTCACTCTATTGCCTGTTTCTGTATAATTTCTCCTCTGTGAAGAGCTGAAACAGACTTCTCCTCTTGTGAGTGCAAAAAAAAAAAAACAAAAAACCCACAAGATCAGGGCTTTATCTAGTTTAATGAGTGTTAGTGGCAGTGCCAGTTAATGTTAGTGGCAGTGAAGTGGCAGTTGGTGTCTGTGTTAGGGTCAGTGTGTTTTAGGTTACAAATAAAGTTTTATATCTACTCTCAAAGCCAAAAGCCACAAAAAAATGTGTACAATTGTTTCTTGGCCTTACCACAGGTACAAAGAACAAATAATGCACACATATGTGGTATCACCGTGATCGCCAGGAGTAGGAGAATTTATTTTGCAGTTTTTTCGGTGGCGGGTGTAATAGTAAAGGCAAAAAAAATACACAGCTAAAGTTTATAAAAATATTTTATGATTATTATTTTGGGTCAGTTTTCTTTTCATAAAATAAAATCAGAAGATATCCATTGCCATGTCCTGAAATAAACAAGGTATAATCCACTTGGATACAGTATTTATGATATGTACAGGTATACTAACACATGTGAAAGTTGCAAAATTGGGTTTGAGTGTTAAGGTTTTGGCCCTGGTTGTGAAGGGATTAGAAGTATTTGTTTTACCTGAGATAAATATTACACTACACACCACTTTATTGTGGACTCACACTTCTCAGAAATGCTGAGCGCAGAAAATGGGACCTCCCCATAGCCTTGTTTCACATATGTGCCCTTACTGAAACTGATTTCATTTGCAAAGTCATTTTACTGATTACTTTAATTATAAAAAATAGAATAAAATACAGAAAAATACTTGATATAATGGTATGGTACTTGACAAAGAAAATTACAAAATTAACTGTACAGCGCACTGTCACACTAGAAAATATAGCAAAAGATCACAAGCTATGCAACAGCACATAAAAAGAACTATTTGAAAGTAGGACTTACACTTCTCCATTACACCATCCAAATAGCTTCCCATCTCTGCTAAAAATGGACACTTTGCAATTTTTGCTGCTGTCTCTAAAAGAAAAGAGCAAAAACACTTGAGAGTTCTTATCATTGGAGATTATTTGTAGAACATTATGCCATGCTTTCCACAGATAGTGTGGCAACAGTAGCTTGGTGGTTCGATGGAGTAGAATATGAAGGGATTAAAATAAGCAGAAACATTTACGGATGTGAAAAATGGAGGTGTGACATGCTGCAGGCTGTGCATCTGAATTAGTTTGGAAAGATCCCATCAGAGGTTCCGTGTGCAAGGTAAAGGTCATCTGTGCTCTTTACTGGGTATAGAAACCGTTATTGTTGTGTCTCTGCACCCACCAACAGATCCCAGGGAATCCAAAAGTCTTCTCCTGTGTTCCAGTATACTTTCCTGATGACATTCTCCTCTACGATGCCTAGAATTTCCTACAATTAACTGGCAGGTATCTCTCAGCTGGCTAGAGTCTTGTTCGGCTATTGAAGCATTCTCTTTGGCTGCTACAGCAGATGTGTGAAGCACTCAATAAGTGAGGGTAATAACAAAACACACTAATACACTGTGATTTAATTATTTAGACAAAACAAAAAATTGCTAAAATAGCTAATCAATGTGCAATGTAACAATTGATGATGAAGCTCAAAAACAGTGATAGTGTGTAAAATCATACATGGCCATAAAGGACACTGTAGAATAATAGTATGGAAAGCCTAGCTGATAAACTTTGGAATGTCAAAAGCAAACTTGTTTGTGCCTCATTTATTTACAAGCCAGGCTCTACCTTTACAAAGAGATCAGCCTAGTGGACTGTTCACATACCACTTAGTGTTCTGAATAATCTACCAAAGCTCAAGGCTTTGCAGGTTTCCCTCTACTTGGTCTGAAAACCTTTAGAGCTGCATGCAAAAAAATACAGCCTATTTTACTCCTATTCTGGCTCCAAGATGGTAATGTTTCACAGAAGCTAAACATCTCAGAATTAGTAATTTGGCTAACTCCTACTGAACCAGACTTCAGTTGCTTAACCCATGCAACATCCATCCAGTGAGTAAAATAGAAGAGTTTTTCATTTTGTATCTTATTTACACTCAGCACAGAGAACCAAGCAGAGAGGAACCGGTGACTGCCTTCTGCCTGTAAAAATACTTATTTGTTTACAAGGTGGAAATGGATAGATTGTTTATCAATGGTAAAAAAAATTATTTAAATTAAATATAAATATATTATATTAAAAGGGAAAAAAAAAAAAAAACTTACTGCTGAAATGAGTCATGGTTGGTAAACCTTGGAGGTCCCTGGATCAATTGGATTCCATCAGAACCTCTGACTGTGGAAAGAAAAACAATGACAACACAAATGAGATTCTAGTCATATAAATACATTTAGAAAACATAAAAAGTGGAGCTCCTGTCTCCAGTGAAAACAAAATAAAAGTCAACAGCTATGAAAACTGGTCAAAAAAAAAAAAAAAAAAACAGCCACTCACTCACCTGTGCTATGATCCAGCGGTTTCCTCACCTCAGCCAGGTTCACTGGCCATCCTGTGTCCCTGGCATCCAAAGCGTGAGCACCCGGCCCACTGCGCATGCGCGTGCAGCACTATGCCTTTTGAATGGTCCGGCAGTCTTCTGCGACCTGTCACATGTCCCAGAAGACTGCGGGGAGGAGGGGGAGAACTGCCTAGATAATCGCAGTGAAAGTGGGAGCGGGTACCTGTCAAAATCGGGTACCTGCCCCTACCCACCCGCACTCCCCAAATTGCCAGTCCTTAATAGGGAGCGGAGGACGATGTGGCCTTAAAGTCAAACTTCCCCTTTTGAGTGGAGCTCTGCTTCAAAGTGGTATTAATCACTGCAGCCTCAATCCTATTCTGACACTTCTCAGAGGCCCTAGAGAATAAAACGGTGGGTGTTGCAATTTTTTTTGTATGTTACAATACTTGTTTGGTACAATATAAATGATGATGTTACGCCAAATAGATGTCACGCTTTAAAATTGCGCACGCTTGTGGAGTGACTTATTTAAAATACTCCATAGGCAACGTTTTAAAAGCCTTTACAGGTTACCAGTTCAGAGTTACAAAGGAGGCCTGGTGTTACAACCCCTGGCAAAAAGTGTGGAATCACCACTCTTGGAAAATGTTCATTCAATTGTTTAATTGTGTAGAAAAAAAAAAATAATCACAGATATGCCTCAAAACTATTTTCATTTAACATTCAAACCTTCTGGCTTTAAGAAACACTTAAAAAAATAAAAAAGAAAGGAAACTGTAGTGAGTTGCAACTGTTTTTGCAGATCAAGCAGAGGAAAAAAATATCGAATCACTCAATGCTGAGGAAAATATTATGGAATCATGAAAAAAACAACTACAGTACACCACTAGTACCTTGTTGCACAACCTCTGGCTTTTATACCAGCTTGAACTGTCTGAGGCATGGATTTAACTATTGACAAACAGTATTCTTCATCAATCCGGCTCACACTTTCTCTTATTGCAGTTGCAGATCAGTTTTGCAGGTTGGAGCCTTGTAATGGACCATTTTCTTTAGTTTCCACCACAGATTTTCAATTGGATTGAGGTCCCGACTATTTGCAGGCCATGTCATTGACAATATATGTCTTTCTTGAAGGAAAGTTTTTTTATGGCTTTTGCTCTATGGCAAGATGCATTATCATCCTGAAAAATGATGTCATCATCACCAAACATCCTTTCAATTGATGGAATAAGAAACGTGTCCAAAATCTCAATATAAACTTGTGTATTTATTGAAGATTTAATGACTGTCATCTCCCCCGAACCTTTACCTGACATTCAACCCCAGATCATCAATGATTGTTGAAATTTGCATGTTTTCTTCAGGCAGTCGTCTTTATATGTTTCATTGGAATGGCACCCAACAAGTTCCAGCATCATCACCCTGCCCAATGCAGATTTGTGATTCATCACTGAATAGCACTTTCATTCACAGTCCATGATTGCTTTACTTTAGCCCACTGTAACCTTGTTTTTTTGTCATGATGGTTTTCGTTTGGCTTTTCTGTATATAAATCCCATTTCCTTTAGGGAATGTCTTACAGTTCGGTCAAGAGACATTGACTCCAGTTTCTGCCCATTTGCTCCTCATTTGTTTTGTTGTGCGTTTCCAAGGCATAATGCTTTAAGTTTTCTGTCTTGACGCTTTGATGTCTTACTTGGTCTATCAGTACACTTCCGTTTTACAACCTTTCCATTTGATTTGTACTTGGTCCAGATTTTAGACACAGCTGACTGGGAACAACCAACATCTTTTGCAACATTCTGTGATTTACCTTCCTGAAGAAGTTTTATAATCCTCTCCTTTGTTTCAACTCACATCTCTAGTGCTGGATTCTTGTCAAATAGTTTGGTACAACAGCTCACCAAGGTGTGCAAGCACTCTTTTTAAACTGTAATTAGCAGATGTAATCTGATGCAGATGTTTTAGAACTGCAAAGTACATGGCGATTCCATAATATTCCATAATTAAGCGATTCCATATTTTTTTCCTCTGCTTGATCTGCAAAAATAGTTGCAATTGACTACAGTTTTCTTTTTTTAAGTGTTTCTTAAAGCCAGAAGGTTGGAATATTAAATGGAAATAATCTTGAGGCATGTCTGTGATTGTTTTTTTTTTCCTACACATTTAAACAATTGAATGAACATTCTCCAAGAGTGGTGATTCCATACTTTGTGCCTGGGGTTGTAGAATGATTGCAATTCTAGAGCGTTCATGGCAATACTTCACATGTGTAGTGCAAACACTGTTTACACATGCATGTGCGATCTACGCATGCGTTTGACTTTGTATGAGAGCACAGGGGTACGGGGGGGGGCTTAAACATTTTATTAATTTTATTTTTTTTCATGGTCTCTAATTTTTTATCATGTTTATGGCTATTACAAGGGATGAATAACATCCCTTGTTATAGCTGGAGCAGTGACAGCTTTATGACAGATAAAAATCATCTGGTCAAACCAAGATCAGTTTGACCAGATGCTTTCACAAGCCACTAATGGCTTGTTTACATCCTGAGGAAACCAGAAGTGACAAAATACTTCCAGATTCTTATACCATAGAGATGATCGGGGACGTTCCGGACCTCTAACATCTCTATGGTAAGCCAGCGGAACTGCTGGCTTTGGTCCTAGGCCCCTTGGTGGGATCAGCCACTGGGAATGCTTTTACTTAATGGTGCATTGCTGCCTGAAAAAAAGAAACCAGAATGATGCCTGTAGCTGCCAGAATCATCCTGAGACATAACCACTTCAACCTGGCGACGGACAAGTATGTGGCGGAGACTGAAGTGGTTAAAACCCAAAAGCAAATATTTATTATATTGCAGCTTACCATTTCTTAGATGTGATGGCCAGTAAGTCTGTTTTGTAAAAGAACAAGCTCTCCCTCAGAATGAATGATTTAGAGATGAGATAAACCATTTAACACTGGTAGGGGTGCTTACAATGAACAGCTTTTTTATGTAAAACCTTTATCTCAAAAGAAAAAAAAACTATTTGCTGGAACTACTTATCATGTATTAGCTGGAGTTTGGCTTTGATTTGTGCATTTAAATCTGCTTGTACATGTAACGCGCCCCTTCCTCCAGACTGACAATGCTGCTGTCCAAAAGTGCCCCCTGTGATCCTTCATCTGGGGCACTCTAAGGCCTCATGCATACTGGACGTTTTTTTTTCTAAACTATCCTAGAAGCCTTCCTCCTGGAAGCAGCATTTTGGCAAAAATAAAACAAAAACCGCCTGAGCCGGAGCCTGTCAATGCCGCCTTCAATGGCGGTGACCACCAACACATGCAGTTCCCCCCCCCAGAGGAGCACTGCATGCAGACTGGAGACACTGGGGCCACAGAGTCCTGCCACCTGTATGAGAGCCCCACCACCAGCACGGATTTCAAAATCTTTATCAATGCCTAGAAGCACAGTGAAGTCAATTATTAGGAAGTGGAAGGTATCTGGTACAACACAGACCCTCCCTGGATCAGGACATCACTCCAAACTGGATGAAAGAGCCAGGAAGAAACTAGTCAGAGGCTACCAAGAGACCTACAGCAACTCTGAAGCAGTTGTAGGAATTTATGACAAAGAGTGGTGACTGTGTGCATGTGACAACAATATCATAAATTCTCATTTTTCAACTCAGTGATGTTTTGAATTTTTTATATAAATTCTTGCAACTGCTTCAGAGTTGGTCTTGGCCTCTTGGTAGCCTCTCTGATCAATTTCCTCCTTGCTCTTTCATCCAGTTTGGAGCAACGTCCTGATCCAGGGAGGGTCTGTGTTGTACCAAATACCTTCCACTTCTTAATAATAGACTTCACTGTGCTTCTAGGCATTGGCAAAGTATTTGATATTTTTTGTATCCCTCTCCTGACTTGTCCTGTCCACAATTTCATCCCAGAGATCTTTTGACAGTGCCTTTCCACCAATAATTGGTTGTTTGCTTCAGTTGCACTAGTGGGACTGACATGCTCCAGGAAAGCTCTTTGCATGCTGAGCTAATCAAACTGACCACAGCTGATCACAGTTGAAAGTCAAATGACTTTGTGTGCCATTGATAAGGTAATTAGCTACACCTGATTGAGTTTACAAGTAATTTTTAGGAGGGGTTCATCCTTCTTTCCAACTCAATGATTCTGTTTTTGAATAGTTTATTTTTTTTCTGACATGTTGGTGTCATATCTTTCACTTGGATGTTTTAAGTTGCACTGAGTAAATACAGCTGGATAAAACAAAAACTGTGTCTGTCTTCATTTCAGGCTGCAAAGCAAGAAAATTTGATTCTTTTAAAAGGGGGGGGGCGATTCTTTACTATACCCACTGTATATCTTCCCCAATCTACTGTGCAATTAATAAACCTGGAAGTGCTCAACTGAGCGTTTCTGGGTTCAGAGCTGTCAGAGTTATGAATGAGATGCTGTGTAAACAATCTAGTCTGTCCTGTTCTTGATGGGGTGAAGGGTAGGGGAGATACTGGAAGTCTTATAGATCCCCGATGTCTCCATAAAGAGAACCTGTCACCTGTCCACGATATCACGTAGGGAGCTTGTTAACTCCTTATGAAAGCTATAAAGTTAAAGTGGTTGTAAACCTGAGACAAGAAATATGAACAAATCATATCCCTCTATTAAGTGCACTAAGTGTCATTTCTGTTTGCCTTCTCATTCCTCTGCTATCACCTAGAGCCACTTCTGACACGTTTTCCTGACACCAAGAGAAAAAAGCTGACAGTGGAGATACCAAGAGCACACAAACTGTGGTTGACAGTCTCAGCTCTGGGTGAAGAGGGGGAATGTCTCTTCCTGTCAATCAGCTCTCTTCACTGAGCTTGGCAGTGTGTAACTTCAGCTTTCAGTCAGCTAAGACCAGATTTATAAATTCTGGACTTTATTTTATTTATTTCAGGTACTTATATAGTGCCGTCAGTTTACGCAGAGCTTTACATATATATATATATATATATATATATATATATATATATATATGTACATTTGAAGAGAAGACTGCAGATAAACAGGTACAACGTATGTAGGAGGATCTCTGTGTATCACCTGAGACCAGTCACTTCACCGAGTATATGTAAGGGTTTACAACCACTTTAGAACAGAACTACAGATATACTTTTTTTCATTCTGGATAGAGTAAAGGAGGGTTATAACTCCTGTATCTTTTTGCCATCTATCTCTTGTTGGGGAGATTTCGCTTCACTTCCTGTCTCATAGCTAAAACAAGAAGTTAGCGGAAACGCCACCAAAGTGAGGGATTCCCTGGTTGTCACCAGAATTATGTCTCCATTGGAAGATTTCTCCGCTAAGCCTGTTCTGGTGAAAATCCACATTTTGGGATTTTCCTTAATTTTCACAACTGAGCACTTATGTTGCGCTTGCAGTGCCACTAAAAAGTGATTCTAAAGGTTCTTATTTTTTGGAAAATAAGAAACATGTCTATACTTACCCACTATGTGTAGTTGTATTGCACGGAGCAGCCTGAATCCTCCTCTTCTTGGGTCCCCCGCAGGCTCTCCTGGCCCCTCCTTCCTGTCAGGTGCCCCCACAGCAAGCAGCTTGCTATGGTGGCACCAGCTGCTCCATGCGTCCATTCACACACTGAGCTGTGGCTCAGCCCCACCCCCTCCCTTCCCATTGGTTGACTGGGTGTGATTGACAGCAGTGGGAGCCAATGGGCTTTCTGTCTCAGCCAATGAGGAGGCAGACACCCGGGACAGCCCAGGCTGTCATTCACATTGCTGGAACGCGATGAAGCTCAGGTAAGTATTGCGGGGGCACTGATGCACACAGAAGGTTTTTTACCTTCATGTGTAAAGGTAAAAAAACCTTCAGCCTTCACAGCCACTTTAATTGTTATTGGCACCCCAAATGCAGCCAGCAAATGTGGTAAAAAAAATGCCGGGCTGTATGGCTGAAAAAGATGCAGGAGCTTCTCTGGCCGGCTTTTTGAATGTGAACACATATGTATGTAACATTGTCTGCACCACACCTTGCTCTGGATGTAAAGGGGATTTCAAATAAAAAGGAATTAAACAGTATGATTTGTCAGGATAACACATCTCACACGCATGATAGCATACACATGATAGCACACATGTTGGTGTGACGGAGTCCTAATAAATAATAATACAAGGCTTTGGGATGACTGGTACAACTTTCCATGTATTACACCGTCAGGGCCCCCCTGGCTCCACATGCTGTGCTCTCAGTGTGCTGTCACCATCCTGCCATGGCACAGTGCACAGCTCTACAACACGTGTCCCACGTGTGCTCCCTCCGAGGATGAACACCACACTGAAAACACAGCCCGGACCACAGAGCTCACTGCTGACAACAGGACCACCCGCCCATGTGTCCACTATAATGCCCCAATACAGAGGACACAGACCTGCTAGCAGCGGTATGGGAGGCGCCATGTTGAGCCGGAAAGGGACTGCTGACGTCAGAGATTGGAGGAGGAGCTACTACTACTAGATACACGTACCCCTTACTGCCGCATCACTAGTCCCTCTATGGAGCAGACACATCCGCTGGTGGGCGGTGGTATCCATCCGCCGTGAGAGGCGGGGCCTGCGGTAGAAGACACGTGTGATGTTATCCTGTCATACTGAACGGGTTGTATGTTACAAGGAAATGGTCTGTTAGCCACAGAAGAGTCTTTGCTGATTCAGTCTTCATAATGATAGGCCACACTCTGCATGAGATCAGAAGTGGAGCAGCTGTACAAGGCAGCCATTCACCTTCTATCTGGATATTTTTCTATGTAGTAGGGTTTTGGAGGTTTTTTTTTTGCACTTCTGTATGTCTAGGCGAAAATGACATTTGCACCCCCCTCCCTGCCAAGATTCTGCGGGTGTGGATCCCAAGAGAGCTCACACGTGGCTCCCCTGCACATGCTCAAAACATGTCTGCTACGGAAGTGCGGAACATTTGCTGTGTTTGCACATGTGTGGGAAATCTGCGTGTTCTCAGATCTGCCAGGAAATAAAGCAGAAAACTGCAGATTAAAAAAAAAAAAAAAATAATCCTCTGCAAGGTAATGTCATAATGTGCTAGTATACATCACTTTAGGACAAACCCCTCCAGCAGTGCAGTCACCACTGTCAGGTCGTCCACGAGATCTGGCCATGCCGCAATGACTTCACTCCTGCGCATGTGTCAGGAGTCACAGGCCACAGCACAATGTTCTGATGTTACGACACGGTATGCCATTCCTTCACAGCACATGCCCTGGCTCTCAAAAAGAGCGAATATCTCCTAAATCGTGCACATTTAGGAGATGTTTGGTTTACCTAGAGGTACGTTAACCTGTAGGTAAAAAGCAAGCAAACTTTACTACCACTTTAAAGGCCAGACAGACCTCTCAGTACATCTCCGCACAACATAATAAGGGCCTTTTCACACTGATCAGTTTTAAAATGTATCCCTTTAAATCCTATGGAACTCTTCACACCAGTCACTTGCATTTTTGGTGTATGTTAGGAGCCTTTCTCATTGATCAGTTTTGGTTAAAAAAGCAGAAGATTATCTGTTTTTACTGCATTTTTTGCAATGCAGCAGTAGAACGCAGACAAAAATGCACTGAAACACAACTGACCAGTGTGAAGAGTTCCATAGGATTTAACCACCTCCCACCCACCATGTAAGGAAATGACGGGCGCAAGGCGGTTCTCTCGTCCTGGGAGAATGTCACATGACGTCTTCCCATTCGAACCACACATGCGCGGCTCCGGAAGCGTGCGGTGATCGGTGGTGCGCTGTGTCCCTCGAACACAGCAGATCACCGATCAAAGGAAAGAACCGAAGATTTCGGCTCAGTCATGTGATCAGCTGTGTCCAATCACAGCTGATCTCATGTAAATAGGGAAATGTCAGAGAGGAGAGACGGTAATCAGCATTCCTCGGAGGGGACATGTACACTGATCATCAGGGCACTGATGATCAGTGTAGCCCCAGCAGTGCCACCTGTCAGTGTCAATGCCAGCTGTCAGTGCTCATCAGTGCCTACCAGTGCACATCAATGCCACATATCAGTGCTCATCTGAGCTGCCTTTCAGTGTTGCCTATCAGTGCCAGTCAGTGCCACCTATCAATGCCAGACAGTGCCAGTCAGTGCCATATATGAGTGCTGCCTTTCAGTGAACATCAGTGATGCCTGTCAATGCCCATCAGTGCCTCCTCATCAGTGCCACCTATCAGTGCCCATCACTGCAGCCTCATTAGCGCATATCAGTGAAGGAGAAAAATCACTTATTTACAAAATTTTAAAACAAAAACTAAGAAAAAACTTTTTTTTTCAAAATTTTCAGTTGTTTTTGGTTTGTTTAGCAAAAAATAAAAAACCCAGAGTTGATTAAATACCACCAAAATAAAGTTCTGTCTAAAAAAAAAATGACAAAAATTTCATATGGGTACAGTATTGCATGACCACGCAATTGTCATTCAAAGTGCAACAGCACTGAAAGCTGAACATTGGCCTGAGCAGGAAGGGGGTATAAGTGCCCAGTAGGCAAGTGGTTAAAGGGGTGCATTTTTCATGCATTTCTCTTCCATTTTTTTTTTTTCTCAAAAACTAATCAGTGTAAAAGGGCCCTAAGGCCCCTTTCACATGGGCATTCAGTGTTTCTCACCAGTTTTCTCAAAGAAAAATGGATCAGTTGTACATCAGTTTTTTCTTCAGTTTTTCACATCCATTACCAATGCAAAAACAAATGCAAAAATGGATCTGAATGTAAGTGGACAAAAAACTGATGTAAACGGACAACTAAATAAAATGAGAGCAGCGCTACCCTAAAACCATAATATAATACAAAATAACAGAAAAAATACAAGGTAAATATAAGTGACAATGAATCAGTGAATTGATCCTCTCTGGGATCTCAAGTGAAAACTGATCTCACCTGGTATTGGGACCAGGAACCAATGACACACACTGTCCAAATGGGACCATATATATGATAAAAATAAAAAACGTTAATCCCTGAAAGGGATTGATACTTTCATGCAAATAGTGACCAAAAAACGTGAACCCTAACAGGGATCGACAATTTCATGCAGATCGTGACCACAGATAATGGCTAAATTAAGCCATATAAAACCTCATGCTAAAGGTGTATTTGCATGGGAACATTGGGTGCAGCAAGATGGCGTCCGCGCCGGAAGTACGTCACCACGTGACTTCTTCAGGCCAACGATATGGGTAATAGGGGACACTATATAGGGAATTCAGATGTCAATCACTGGAACCTAGGCAGACCTATTGCGGCCATTTCCTTGGAGTCCGGTAACCGGGACAGACCAATGCTAATATTGCAGTCCACCCATGGCCAATTAACAAAGAGAGCTAATAAATAGATATACTGCATATCTATCGGCATAACTTATTAAATATATAAATGACTCGGTAACTAACAACCTTTTTATTATTATAAACCTTACATGAAGATAATACAAAGTTGCCATAGGTAAATGCTCCAGGAAAAAAACAGATACATATTAACCCATAAAGGATAACCTAGGAGTATATTACCTATTGGCATGAATAAATACATATAAATCTAAACTACCACTATTAAAAATATATACTTTATTCAAAATGAGTAAAAATTCTAAGTAATCTAAATACCTATAAAAACGCATGAAAAACATTAAAAACGCATGGATACGACAATCCAATAACAGGGGATGGGGACCCTGATTAAATCCTAAGCTGAAGATGCATATAATAAGCACTAATAGATAAAGAGATAAATCTAATATCGGATATTAAAGTATATTAATTTATAAAAAATATTATTATATATAAAAATATTAATGATAAAAAATAATAATAAAAATAAATAATATATATATATAATGCAATCTTAACTACTCCCAATAATTATGTTACAGACACCCACTAAATGTGTATAATGGTGTTCAAGGATAAACGCACACCAACGTGCGTACATACAAAGATCCAGGCAAGCACACCCCTACCATCAGTGTACATAATAATCAGTAAATATAATATAATATTAATAAAACACTAAAAACTAAAATAACTAAAAAACAGTCAGGTAGCTATATATTCATCAACATCGTCCAAAAGAATGACAAGAGATACATAAAATTATTATTGCTTATATCTTTATAGTAATGAACCAAAGTCACTAATAAAGCAATTTAAATTGAATTCCACATTTAAACCTTTTGGCGTTTGGGTCTGCATAGAAAAAATCCATCTGGATTCAGCTTGGCTAAGCGTTTGGACCTTATTACTACCTCTCCAATGCCTTTTGTATTTTCTATTCCCCAGAAGGTCAAAGAAGAGGGATCCTAGTTATGATGTGTGGAGAAGTGTCTGGAAACGTTATGTTTGGGGAAACCATTTTTGATGTTCTGAACATGTTCCCTTAACCGTTTCCATAATGGTCTCTTAGTCCTACCAATATATTGTAATCCACACTTGCATTGTAGTGCATAAATCACCCCTTCTGTTCTGCAAGAGATAAAATCTTTAATCTGAAATTCTACCCCATTACTGTGGGCAGAAAACTTATTATGCTTAGAATTTTGTCCTTTTGTGGCCTTTTTGGTCCAGGAATGTAATATATTTCTGTGCTACAGGAGGATCTAAAACATTTTTAACTAATTTTGTACTTAGTGTTGGAGCTCGTCTATAGATGGATTTAGGTTTCCCTGGAAGTAGATCTGATAATGTTTGATCAGCTTTAAGTAAAGACCAATGTCTTCTAAAAATATTTTAAATTTTTTTATAATGTACATTATAATCCAAAATAATAGCTAGCTGATCATCAAAGTCCACTTTTATCTTGTCGTTCAGCAGTGTACTTTGATCCATATTGGCAACCTCTCGTATTATCCCTTCAACTTGGTCCTGCTGATATCCCTTATCAAGAAAGCATTGACCAATAGTTTTAACTTGTTCCATATAATCTTCTTTAGAGGAACAATTCCTCCTAAGCCTGACACATTGTCCTTTAGGTATGTTCAAGAGCCATGGGGGATAATAGCAGCTATCAACTGGGATGTACCCGTTAATGTCCTTCCCTTTAAAAAACGTTTTCGTCATGATGTGTCCCTCTTTAATAAGAATAGTAAGGTCCAGAAAGTTAATCTGTGCATTATTGTATTCCCAAGAAAATTTAATATTCTTATTATTATCATTATCATTCAATTTATGCAGAAAATGCAATAAATCCCCATCTGCACCTTCCCAGACTATAAAAACATAAATGTATCTTTTTTAGAGTACTAGACCTTCTGGGGGGTGTTGGTAAACTTCCTCTGTCTCCAAGTGTGCCATGAATAAATTTGCAACACTTGGGGCGAAGCGTGCTCCCATAGCAACACCCTTAATTTGACGGTAGAAAGCTTTGTTGTGCCAGAAATAGTTATGCGTGAGAAAAAAAGTCCAAGCATTCAATCAAAAATTTCCTCTGGGTCCATTTGAGGTTCCTAAGTGTTCTTAACCCCCAACTGGTTGCTTCTATGGCATCATCATGACCAATGATGGTATAAAGGGATGATACATCCGCTCTCGCCACAAGCATTGAAGATGGTTTTCCCTGTATATCTCCCAATAGCTGGATTAGATGTTTGGTATCTCTCAAATACGAACAAGTATTTTTAACCAATGGTTGCAAAAATGTATCTATGTAATGGCCTAATCTGGCAAAAACCGATTGTATCCCATTAACAATTGGGCATCCAGGTGGGTTAGTAGGATCTTTATGAATCTTTGGTACTGTATAGATTACAGGGATTCTACATTTATCTGGAACCAGATATCTTGATTCCTTATTATTGAGCAGACTGTTATTTAATCCCTTTTTAACTAACATATCAAGTTCTTTTTTATATTTAAAAGTAGGGTCTTTACGTAGTACCTGATAGGTTTCTGTGTTGTTGAGTTGTCTCTCTAATTCTTTCAGATAATACTCCTTGGACAAAACAATGATTCCTCCTCCCTTGTCAGCTGGTCTAACCACTATATCTTGTCTTTTTGTAATTTTTTTTTATACCTAATTTCATCATTCGGTTTGGTTTAAGTTTAGGAATAACCAGCCTATCCAAGTCATGATTAACCATTTTTTAAAAACTTCTACATGACTGTTATTACAAACTTTTGGGTTAAAAAGCGATTTATTACGCAATGTGGTATGAGCAGTCTCACTGCTTGGGGCACTATTAACCGTGCTTTTAGCTCCGGCTAGTCCTAAAAAATATTTCTTAATATTTAATTTCCTAATATACTTCTGGGTATCAACATAGATATCAAATTTATTCACAGGTTTCATATTTGAGGCCTTTGTCTAACACCATGAGTTCCTCCATCGTGAGGTCAGATCCACTCAGGTTAAACACCCCTTTTCCTATCACTCTCTTTTCCTTTTTGGTCTTCCGTCCTGCTCTACATCCCTTCCTCTTTTAATTGGCCACGGGTGGACTGCGATATTAGCATTGCAGGATAGGTCTGTCCAGGTTACTGGACTCCAAGAAAATGGCCGCGATAGGTCCACCTAGGTTCCAGTGATTGACATCTGTATTCCCTATATAATGTCCGCCTATCACCCATATCGTTGTCCTGAAGAAGTCGCGTGACAACGTGACGTAACGTGTAGGACGCGAGCATGGTGACGTACTTCCACTACGCGGTGGTGATGTACTTGCTGCACCCAATGTTCCCATGCAAGTACACCTTTAGCATGAGGTTTTGAAGCTTGATATATTCTTATACATTGTGAGTGGGCATTTGGCTGTTCTGTATTTTGAGAGTTTATTAAATACGGATTTACATTATGGGAGGTTTCTCTTTATCTTTACCCTACCTGTGATGTGAGTTGGTGGCTGACTGCTTTATGCTGGAGGGGACCTGGCTGTTCCTAGTAAGGGGGATATCATCTACCTGAACAGGTGTCCATAATGTGAGGGAGCCGCATCAGCGAAGATTCCTGGCTCCAAATAAAAAAAGCATTTTGGCCCTTTGAGGGTCGCTTCAAGGAGGTGAGGGGGAATTTTAGCCACATATGGATTATTTCCATCGGTGGTCATGCACATCCACAATATCACTTGCACATAGAAGTTTTTGGAATATTTTGGTGTATACGCACCTTTTTGGACTTTGTTTTTCTCTTGTTTTAGTGGACTAT